AATCGGATGTTTTCCCGCCGCCGCCTATCGCCCTCAACACCCCGCCATAGAGCGTTTACGGCATCTTCGACTTCTTGCACTCTCTCAACTATGTCAGAACTATCAATCGTCACCTCTTCCATCCGGCGAAGCTGCTCCAGGAAGCCAATCGCTCTTGTAATGCGGCCTGCGCTCGAAAGGATCGCGTCGTGTTGTCGCTCAGACAATCTATCGCGGCGTCGCAACGCTGGCGGTGTATGTCCCCGCTGAGACTCTCGATCTGACAATCGCCGCTCGATTTCCTCACGTGATAATGCGACCGGGGCCGCCGCAGTCGCCGCAGCAGGTTGTAGGGCCGCATCCTCAACCGCCGGCCTGGCCTGTTGAAGCCCCGCCTGCATAATTCGTCGTGCCATCTCCTCGTCTTCCTCTTCTGCGCTGCCACGACGCATGCCTTGCGACATGTCCACAGCTGGGGGCGCTGCGAGATCGGCTTCGACGCCGCGAATCACGCGCAACCTTTCTTCGGCGTCAGCAATCGCCTGAATGGTCTGGTCGATAGCTGCTTGAGCATTGAGTTCTGCGGAAGGTATAGCACGTAGAGCTTCACCTATGTGTTGGAAGAATCGCCGAACATCCTGCTCGTTCGTATTCTCCAACCCGAAGATAAGCTCAATTCGCCGACCTCTCAGTCCGACCGCAGGTACACGAAAGAGACTCCTCTCCAGAAGTGATGTCGGGTCTGGCTCTTCGTCGACGCCTCCGAGTGCCCCGGCCCCAGCGTCGTCAAACCAGCTCTCGCGACATAATGGGCACCACATGCTATATCCTCTAGGACTGCTCAGGTGCGCTTCGATGCACGTCCTTCCGAACACATGCCGACAAGTCGAGTTGGCGTGGGTGGAGCGTACACGGACTGGGTAGTCGCCGCCTTCCTCCAGCGGGGGAAAGGCCTCGTAGCACAACGGACATATCCGATCGCTTTCCGGTACATCGAGTAATGGCACAGGTATTAGATGCGATAGGTACTCGCGAATGCGTCGTTCAGCTCGTTGACTGGGCATGTTGGGTTTGACAAGCGTTTCTACAAGTGCGCACGCTGGTGAGTAATGGTAAGGATGTGCGAAACGATATCCATGCGAAGAGAATTTATACGTCGTTCTGGGCTTCACGTCGCGCCTCTGAAGTCGCTGCTGTGCTTGAAGCTATCGGACTCGCATCACACATTCCACATGTTCATCGCGAGACATTCAGAAATGCGTGCTTCAATTGACTCCATTCAGTATGACTACACGACTTTACCGCCGGCAACAGCCCCGTCTCACATTATGGGATCTAGCCCGTCCGCAACGCTCACAAGTAGTGACGCCCATGCGATCGGCCTGCTCGAGCAATTGGACGACCGTCCACAAGTCTCTAACAGTCCCCCGGGTTCCAATACGTCGTCTACTCCGCCGCAAACCACCCAAAAATACATGCTCCTCGCTGCGAGATGTAGTAGAGGAACTACAGCTACTCGAGCTGCTGAAGCTGTCAGACCGAGCACTCGCCGCCGCAACATGCGTGTTGTTAGCCTCCACCGCAAGGCTGCCAGGTCTAATCGTTATTGTCTGTCGTGGGGATCCCAGCATCCTTACGAGTCTTCCTGCTCTTTCGACCCTTACCGGTCTTAAGGACCCTGCAAGCCTTGCATGTCCTTCAACGCCTTCGGATCTTGCAGCTTGCGGTGTATCCGCTCGGTTGCTACGCCCATCTCCATCTCTTCTGCCGCGCAGTCGCGCAATCGTGTCTCTCACCGCCGTACCCAACCTTCGCCGACGCTCCGGCCATGGAGATGGTACTGGTTCCCTTGGATGATACGTGAAATGTACGCGATCCGTACGAACAGTGCCGGAAGCTGCGATACGGCTAATCTCAGGTATCTCTGCGGAAAGGGTATCTTCGACAAAGCTATATGGATCTTCAAATGGTCTTGTGGGCCAAGCTGCCTCGGCATTGTCCCTAGTTGGCTCCTGCATTGCAAGTATGATCTCCAGAAGAACACTCGCTGGGATATCTCGGATGGTGTTGAACCAATGGGTGCGGCAGAGTGGGCATTTGTTGCTCCACGCATTGCGACCTTCGAACAATGTGCGCAAGCAACGATGGCCGAAGATGTGGTGACAGTCGCCGAAATGGATTTGAACAGGACGTTCAGGTGTTCCTTGCTCGTCAGGACTAGGGTCGCCATATCGCGTGACGCAAAGCGAGCAAGTACGGTCTTCGCTTCGTAGTGACGAGGATTGAATTTCGGTGCAATAGAGCGTCTGGAAGTTTTGTGCGTCCGGCGCTGGCTGCGGGGGCTGTCGGGCGTGTTGCATGGCTTCTCGCTTCTGGATCTCAGGCGCGGCCTACTTCGGAAGTCGGAGAGAGGTATATGTCGCCTTCGGGTGAAGCGCGATTTCATTCAACAGCCGCAAACCTTCGTGAAGCGTTGTGTTGCGGACGGCTGCGATGCAGGTGCTCAAAGCTCCGCGTGGCGGTTCTACGCCCCGAAACGCCCTACCACGGTGTATCTATTCCCGAATGTCAGATGAACGGTCCCTGTTGCTCCGGTCTTCACGCGCACACGCTGTCAGTTTCTAAAACCACGCAACATGAACTCGACGTCCGGCTTCATTTATATCTTACTACCATTGTATTGCCGTCTTCATAACTCCGCCAACCGTCCGCATTACCAAACATGGCCCTTGTTCTGTTGAACCTGCTTCACATTGATGTTCCGCCACATCAACACTCCAACAGCACCGAAGACCCAGATACCCGTACTCACGAGCAGAAGCCGAGACATCGCGTCTTCGTAGGCATCTTGGATAGCAATGCGCGTGGGCGAGCCGATCGGATAAGACAGCTGCTTCGCCAGATCCCCAAAGATCTTGTGGAGATCTGGCACCTCCTCCGTAGGTAGATATTGCCGAAGTCGACTTGGAAGCACGTCCGACCAGATCGAGGCGGCGATGGTCAAACCGATAGCCCCGCCTATGTTCCCGAAGATGCTAACGAGAGCGAGCATCGCCGCAACATGTTCGTGTGACCCTGCGGCTAGGATAGCGATCTCATCCGTAACGACGAGGACGCCTTGTGAAATGGAGATGAAGAGGAAGCACACGATGATATACCCGGTGTTCCCCGGAGCGAGGAAAAGGACCATGAGACCCTGACCCAGCATGCTGAGCGGGATACCAATGACAAGCGATACGGTCTTGAAGCGGCCAGTGCGATGAATGATGTAGCCGGCCAGGACCGCGAATACCACGCTGACCACGGTATAGGCTTGTGCGACGTAGCTCGCTTCCTCTACGCTGAGACCTTGCACGACTTGCAGGTATGAGCCGAAGTAGCTGTTCCAAACGGCATAGCTGCCGAAGAGACATGTGCATAGGAGGCACGCGCCAAAGACGGTTCGGTCCAGGAGCAAGTTGTATGGAAGGAGAGGAATTGTCGCACGAGTTCTCTCCCAGAATGCGAATGCGATGAGAAGACCAATGCCGACTACGAACATGCCGACCACCATTGGCGATGCCCAACCGTTGCCCGCCAATGTGTGAAGGTTGAACGGCAACAGAAACAGGGTAACGCCCATCGAGACCAAGCACAAGCCGATCGCATCAAACTCCCGGCTGTAGTACACCACCGACTGCGCGACATTACGACCGCTCATGCGCTCGCGCACAAGTCCCATACGTTTCGCCTTCTTGTAATTCCACACCAACAGTCCAAACAGCGGCAGCGTAACAAGCGGAACAAGTGCACCGAACATGGCAAACGCCCACCGCCATCCCATGCCGTTCAGATACGCTTGCGCCAAGGGCCCAGCAACCCATCCTGTGATGAGGCCAGTCGAGTTCATGAGCGCCTGCATCAGCGCCCTATTCTCCAACTTCGTCGTATCAGCGATGAACACCGACAAGATATACTGCACCCCGTTATTCCCCACAATATGAAATATCATAGCCGCAGCATACGTTCCCACGCCCTCGCATACCGTCATCAAAAGCAAGCCCATCGTGCCGAGGATCACGCAGAGGATGAAACCATGCGGTCGCCCGAAAACATCGATGATCTTCGCGATCGTCAGGTTGGTGACTCCGCCGACTACATTGCTCAGTATGCTCACGGTGGGCGTGAGCGAGTGCATGGAGAAGGCGGATGTGACGTATGGTATGAGCGCTGCTGTTGTACCGGCGAGCAGCGTTTCGACGAAGTAGATGAGGTAGATCATTGTGTAGGCTGTTGTGAGGGAGTGCTTTGTCCAGGCGCGTGTTGTGGCTTCGATGGCGAGGACGCCTGGGTGGGCTGTGGTGGAAGAGGGGTCATGATTGGCTGGTGGGTCTTCGAGGTGGGTGTGGTGGGTGTCGTCGATGCTGGATTTTGTAGGCTCGGCAAATGTGGTTGTCGAAGAGGATGGGGAGAGGAGAGGCTCTTCGATCGACGCGCGGGGGGAATGCATGTCGCAGAGTTGCGGTCTTGGGAGAGTCGGGTGGTTGTATCGACGGGACTGAAGGCTACTGTGCGGACACGACTTTGGAGCTAACTACACTAGAAGCTCAGCCGCCGATAGTCGTAGCAACCATGCAGGTCAGAAAGCTACGATATGTTGAGCTAAGCTGACTTGACGCCTTCACCGAGTCGACGGCACAACACGGGCACGACATGCATGTGGTACAAGCGGCTGGGCAAAGAGCATGTTTGCGATCGTTATCGGCCGAAACCCTGAACCTTGCTGATGCGCAAGCGTGGGGGCTCAAGATGCACGGCTGACATGCGTCTGGGGGCTATATCATGCCCGCGGAGACTTGTCGCACGAGCCTGCCCATACCTGTCATCGTGCTGGTCGGTGAGCGCGGCTGCATCTTTCAAGCGTTGACGCTGCATTCTAAGGTAACACTACGCGCGCTCGCATAGGGTCAAGAGTCAAATTATACGCGCAATAGCTATCATACTCCCCCACAATCATGCCAAAGCGCCTAGTCTTGGCTAGCTCAGCAAGCAGCGACATCAACCAATTGCGCATATCTAGTGAACTCCTCATCACGTGCAAGCATATCCCGCTCTTCGGGGAATGTACCCAAGACCAACTCCACGCCACCATCTGCCTTCAGTGGGAACACTACTAAGAACCTGAATCGCCCGCTTCCACGCTCTAGCTGGGGTCTCATCGTCTCTGGCGAACCTCGGTTGGCGAAGTAGACATCACCGAAGCTGATCTCGTTCATCTGGAAAAGTATCATGTTGGAGATCATGGCATGCATGTGGTCAAGACCCATGTTGGCTGTGGAGAACCTGCTGTGATCTGGCAGTGACTGCAGGAGGGTAAAAGCATCGTGGATCAGTGCTGGCGTCATGCGCGCTGCAGAAGCACGCAGCATCTGCGCGATACTTGCAATGCTCGTTGTGGAGGCGCAGAGTTCTTCTACTGGCATGCTTGTCCGGTTGAGCGTGAGTAGACTGCCCATGTATGAGTCTGGTAAGAGGGAGGAGAAGTAAGGTCGTCCGTCCGTTGGCAACTCGAGAATGGAGCAGTCGTCAGGGCTGAACTGTTGGCCATTGGCCTTGGCTACAGCGTAGCGAGCCCGCAATGCCGAGCGCCAGAAGAAGGCTTGTACCATATCGCTGATAGACGTACTGACACCGTTCGCAGCCGGATCGCTTGTGACGTCCGCTTTGAGTAACTCGACCTTCTCGGGTGGGATCAAGAAGAGAGTAGTGTCCATTTTTCTCTCTGCAGCCGGCAAAGGCCATATCGAGTGCAGCGGGTAGCGTGGCGGTCGGCCAAGAGGTCCCGCTGGCCTGGCAGCATGTTTCGCAAGGACGTCGTCCGTGGGAACAAATGGAAGTAAGCCCCAGACATCAGGGTCGATCTCATCTACCGAGCGCGCATGTCCTTCCAACTCATGCAGTACTTCGGGAAGGCTGTGGTTGAAGCTCTCCGCATCATACCACGCACATGTTGCTGATGAGTCCCCTTGCAGGTACCTGCAATTCTCGGCCCACGCTTTGATAGCAATGATAGCACCTACACCATCCAGGCAGCAGTGGTTGAGGTCAATGGCGAGGATGCAACCGCCTTTGATGAAGTTGGCTTGCGCAACAAGGATATCGGCGGGTAGTTGTGGGAAGGTATCTTGTCGCAGTACCAACTCGTCCTTGAAGGCTGATGGGACGAAACCGCCTTCTCGTAGGGTCTCGAAAGTCGGCAGCACATTTGATAGGTCCTTGTACACTAACCGGTCGCGAGTGGGTTGCCCAAAGGGTGGCACGGCAACGGTGAGATCGCCGTTTGCATGTGCAATCTCGTCTTTGGAAGAGCGAATCATCTTTCCACCAAGGGCTGGTATGAGTTCAAAAGTCCGATTGAGTCCGGCTTGCATGTTTGCAAACGTCTCTTCGAACGACGCGTCTGCCTGTAGCGGAAAGTAAAACACCAGGCCCATGTAGTGATTCGGATTGACGTAGTCGAAGGGATTCAGCCGGAAGGACTGCCACGCTCTTCGCTGAGCGATCATGCGCTGCAGTTTCGATTCTTGATCGTCACCTGATCTGGCACCATTCTTTGCTCCAGCGATCAATGGTTCGAGAGCGGCGGTGAACTTGGCTAGGGTTGGATTGGCGTAGAGATGACGGGGTGCAAGTTTGTCCAGGCCTATGATAGCTGTTCGGATGGCACTAACGGCTGCAGACACTCCCAAAGAATCTAGACCGAGGGCGAACAGGTCATCGTCTGGAGTGGCATTGGAGGTGGCTGGAAGAGAGGATGCGAGTATCTCTCGGACTGACTGCTGCAACGTTGATGTGGAGGTACTGTCAACGATGAAAGACCTCTCTTCACTCTGGAAACTGTAGAACCGCTCGATGTAGTCGTCATAAAGCGCCATTGTTGCTTTCCTCTTGACAGTCCCTTTATCTGTCCGAACGAAGGGTTTGTCTGGTTGCGCGAAGATGACGTGGTCGCGTGTCAAGTTGACTGTGTGTCGGGCTGAGGACATGCTTGTCTCGATCTTGGCCCATATGCTGTCCATGAGTTCGTCACTCTTGGTCAAAGCATCCTTCAGTTCAATGAGAAGGCCTGCCTGACGCTTGTGGCTGCCAACAACAAGGCTACCATCGATCGCAGAGTGAGTGCCAACTAGTGCTTCGAACTCCAAAGGCAGGATCTTGTATCCGTTGGATAGAACGATAAGATCATCGTTGCGCCCTGTGAATGCCCAAAGATTGGGTTTGGTGGGGTGTTGCTTGTAGAGATCTTTGAAGTTGATTGAGGTCTTCTCCGGGAATGTGTGGAAGATGCCTTGGAACAAGGATGAATGTTCGTTGCGGTGAACCCAATGCTCATAGACACCCGGCTCCACTTCCTTGAACTCGAATCCGGAGTAGGGATGGAAGGCGAACCAGAACCAATCCTCCCTGTCAACAAAGAGGTTGCCGATGAAGAGACCCTCCGTCGTGCCCGTCAAATTGAGCACTCTGATGACGTCGTTGACTTTGCCGGCACTAATCGGGCTGACCGGGCCACCCGATGCGCAGATGAATTTAGATCGCTGGAGCTTGGCCAACACATCAGGTGTGTCTCCAAGCTCATCGACAAGTGATGGTACCATACTCCAAATGTCGATCTTCGCACTATCGGCAAGGTTCTCGACCAGCGACATGTTGGGTATAACGTTTGTTGGCCCCATGACAACCTGTAGACCGAAGAATATTGGCATCAGGATGTTCATGATGATGCCAGCGCCGTGACACATAGGAAAGGAAGAGTAGATCCGGTCTCCTTCCTTCCAGTCCGAAGTCCATGGTACCAACCCCTCATCGCCGTCGACAGGTGGAAGTAGGCGAATCGCATCCATCGTTCCGACCAAGCTGTGAGACCATGGAATAGGTTTTGGCACACCTGTCGAGCCCGATGTGTGAAGATAGCAGAAGGGATCTGAAGCCGAGTTTTGGAAGGTTTTGGTGTATGGAAACGGCTTGGTGTCTTCTGTATCCAGGAGCTCGTCTAAAAGTGGTAGCTCCAACAACTTCATCGAACGCCTTTCCAGGAAGTTCTTTACCAGAGGTACTGCCGGCACTTCGCCTGCTTTGGCCCAGATTTCGCAGTCGGTTGCTTCGAGCACGGCCAGTGCGCCTTCAACACTGTTCTTGGGCGAAAGGTTGAGGGCGGCGTAGCCCACTTTGACACACGCATATGTAAGGAGGACATGCCGGAGGTCGTGTGGCCCGATATAGCCTACTGGTCGCACAGATGTCGACTCGCCGATCTGTGCGTGGAGCCACCAAGCAGTCTTGTCTACGGCTTTCGCAAACGTATGCACTGATATATCTCGGTATGTTAGACCTGCACCAGAAGGCTTTGCGATGGAAAAGACAACACGGTTGGGGTGATTTCTCGCGACTTGGTCCATGATTTGAGGTATGAGACGGTGGCCATAGTCAGGCTCTCCTCCAATGGCGTCCGTATACGATGAATCCGAGGTCTTCATGTTCGGTGAAGAACGTGGTGGGGATCGCGGTGGTGATTGTGCGAATGAGGTGGGTGGTGTCGAAGCGCCACTGGCCATCGACATCGCACTTGGGGATGAGTATCCGCTCTTCGTGCCGTTAAACAGGCTGCGAGCTTGCAGATAGCTGGTGTTTGCTTCGTTGATCCACGGCATATCGGCTCGTAGCAGTTTCCTCTCCTTGAAGTAGCTTGGCCGTCCGTCCTCGTATATCAGCTCGAGACGCTGGTCCTTCTCGAACTCGCCCTTGGGTGCGCTGACCCATTCCCCATCGGCTAGCATGGCTACGCTACAATGCCAGGGTGTGGTGTAGCCCGTTTTGGTGTTGAGAAGACTTATGGAGATCTTGTGGTCGCCTATCGATTCGTGTATCGACAATCTCAGGTGGTTTGGGAAGGCTGCTTTGACTGCTCCCGCATAAGCCTGCACCTGATGTCAGTGTCCGGTAGCTCAGCCACGTAAGGAGAAGGTTCTTGAAACTTACGTATCCTCTGAAAAGCATCTGCTTGGCTAGATACTTGACGTCCCTCTTGTATTGGTTGCTGCCGCGGTTCTCTCCAAGCGCGAAGATGTGCTTCAGATCCGACTCGAGAAACTTGCGGTAGCCGAGATAAGTCAGTCTCGTATCCGCATTCTCCCTGATCTCTTTGTCGATATCGATATCCGGCCTTCCATGCTTGTTCAAAAGCAGTCGTCTGAAGTTGGTACAATTGGCGACGTAGGTGATCTCTCGCAGCTTGTCCGGGAGCGGAAGGTCAAGTATGTCCTTCAAGCGAGAGAAGGCAACGTGGGTGAACTTCTTCTCCACTGCCATCTGCCGCAGAGCCTCGCCATAGATCCATGTCTCACGGTCAGATATCGATAACAAGTCTTGTTTTATGCATTAGTAGAGAACATCCGTAACCATCATACATACACATACCGTTGTAGGTGATGCCATCAGATATGATGGTGACTCTGGCTCCGGGCTTGTAGACATCCTTGATCCTTGCGCACATGTGGTTCAGGCGTTGAAGCGCTAACTCTTCAGCCTTGTCGGGAAGGGAACCAAGCACTTTGTAAACCTTGTTGGCCGACTTGAAGGGAAAGGCCGGCAAACATGCTTCGACGCGTTCACCCGCCAGGACGAATCGGTCGATTACGGCCAGGAAGTTCGCCGTTCCTGCCGCTAAGCGTTCTTTGGAATCGTCGAACTTGTTGAGAGCATGTTCGTAGATGATATCCAGGATCTTGGTCGATGTAAGTCTTACGTCCGAAGACGATCCAGCAACTGGCGGGTTTGTGGTTTGAAGCGAGATACCAAGGCCGTTGGGGCTGTTGCCAGTCAAGCCGTTGAGGCGTATGGTCATGTCCACCATAGTCAGTGAGACATCAAAACACTTGTGGTCTGTGAAGGTGAGTAAAGCCTGTCCTCAGGTTCTGAAGTCGCTCATATAAGGACCCTAGAATGAAATGGTCAGAGTTGTGTTGTGTATGCAGGTAAGATGCAGGATTGCCACACGAGCCTTCAGGCCAGACGAAGGCTGACGGAAGCCACGATGACAGTGTAGTGTCGGGAACGGCACGCAAATACAGTCCGAGCTCCGGCATTGCAGGGGCGGCTGAGGTAATATGAGGTTGTTCGAGGCGAGCGGACGTTCACCGGGTCGCTTGTTCCCAGGCAGCATACAGTCAGCGCATCGTGCGAGTCATGGCGATCATTCTCAGCGCTGGCATTATGAGATGCTCCTGCCATTGATGCAATTGGGCTTCACGAGACCAGGTGGAGGTGGAGGGTTTACGATTAGTGTGCATGTTTGGTCCGGCCAAGCTGTGTCGCTGGAGTATAGTCATTCTGACTGAAGACGAGCCCGATCCGGCGATCGATAACCCGGATGGGGGCTAGGACGCGTGATGGTCGAGGATGCAGGTCGGTTGGTGTGTGAGGGCATGTTGGCGACGCCTGCCGCGGTGAGGTTTGACGAGGGGTGCCAAGCGTCACGTGTTCTCTAGCGGCAGTCCGAGCGCGAAACCCTCTCATCTGTCGCGTCGCGCTTCATCGCCAAGCATCTCCTCTACTGCATCCACGCCGCCACCAGGCGGACGCAGGCTCAGTACAGCCTATACTCACGCTTTGATCACAACTAACAGCTAACGATGCGATATATGCTAACCGGCTACGAGCAGCATGTCGCCCAATCGTGTGTTGCCGTCTAGGAACACGCTGACACCAACATTACCAATGCTCTCAACATCATCTCAACGATGCTCCTCATCCGCCAATCTTAGTGCAAGGTTCCACGCAATTGCAAACATCACAATCGCCATCGCAAATCCTTGACTTCAGGCGGATTAGAGCGGCGTCAACGCCAACCATCCCTAGCTTACGCGATGTTGCGATATAGCTTTGTCCAGCCACCGCCTCCCGGTGGAGAAGTGGAAAGAGAACGGCTCAATACGAGCTACATCTGAAGGCTAAGAGAACCGAGTAAGCATCGCCGTATTGTGGGAGTCTCAAAGCTGACAGCAACAGCAGTCTTACGATCATCCCGACGCGAGACCAGGCTCTAGTTTGAGCCAGAAGCGCATTCTCTTCTTCGTAGTCTTCCGACCGTACCTACCCGTGCCTCCAACATGCCGCCCATGTCTCCGCGCTCATCGCAAAGCTCCCGGTTATCCACCGATACAAGTTGATACCCTCTTCTCCATCGTCTTTTCGCTAGCCGGATTACTGTGGGCGGGGTCCATATCTTGGCTACGGAGTATATCTCCCTAGGAGGTTAAGAAGGAGCTCAGTCGTGTGTCGGACTTCTACATGACATTTCTAGCGGCAAAAGATGCGTCGCTAGACTTGCTAATAAGAGCAGCTGATAGCCAAAACGTGCTCATGCGAAATTCGCTCATTCGAAAACGCGCTCACGGCAGTATGCGCTTGTTTGAGAAGGCGCTTATCTCGTGCAGCTAGGTGGCTGATCCGGCAGGGTGCCTCATGGCAAGGACTAGACTCGGCTGCGCACTCGTGGGCGACATGTGTTGAAGGCCTGGTGCGTGGGATGACGGCGTCGGAACCAAGCCCACAGCAGCGGGTAATATGCCCTCAGACCGCTTGCAGTGGAGCGGGCCGTTGGACAGGGTCCGTGCTCGCAGACGGCTTCACCAACCTCACCCTGGTTCGCGGGTCGTGTCTGCATCCCCGCTTACTGTCAGCATGGCGCCTCTACGCCCGCCGCAAACGTCCAGTACATGTACACATGCGAGGCCATGATGCGTCGCGGCTCGCTATCGCGTTCTCACCGGCCAACATGACACACGATTCAACACCATACCCATATCCGTATTCGCAGGCTGCGCAGCTAGATCCGCGCATCACCCTCCCGCGACCGTCCATCGATCCTGGTCTAGCACCTTTGATCGACTCTGCGCTTTTACCGGAAGAGTTGGATGTAGCCTTCCTCCGCGGCTTCGATGTTGGTGGCAGTCCCGAACCAATCCTCGCCGCGAACCCGCATCTGACGCATACGGACCATGCCGTACCCGGCTCGTGCGGCCACAGCATCGCCTTGTCAGTCTTCGCCCCGAAGGCCTCGCCCAATGCATTACCAGTCCTGTATTACATACACGGTGGCGGCATGATCTCAGGCGATCGCTTCAGCGCTGTTGCGCAACTAGTCGATCTCGTCCAAGACATCCCATGCGTCATCGCCTCGATTGAATACCGGCTCGCACCCGAAACGCCTGCACCAGGCGGCGCCGAAGACTGCTATGACGGTCTCGTCTGGCTCTCGTCCAACGCCGCGCGCCTAGGCATCGATCCAGCCGCGATCGTGATCTGTGGGTCCTCAGGCGGTGCGCCTCTCGCTGCAGCAACCTGTCTCATGGCGCGCGACAAGGCAACCCCAGCCGTCCCGATCAAAGCGCAAATGCTGTTGTCGCCCATGCTCGACGACCGCTGCGACAGCGTCTCAGACCACCAATTCGAGTACGGCGTGCCCTGGAACGGCGCCACGAACCGCGCGGCCTGGAACCACGCCCTTGCTGGTCAGCGTGGCACCAACACAGTCACCGCATATCAGGCCCCATCCCGCGCTACCGACCTGTCCAAATTACCTCAGACTTACATCGATGCGGCTGAATGCGAGGTCTTCCGCGATCCTGCAGTCATGTATGCTATGAATATGTGGCGGTGTGGTTCCTCGTGTGAGCTGCATGTCTGGCCCGGTGGGACGCACTTGTTTGATGCTGTTGAGAATCCGAAGGTGTCGGTTGTGGGGGCTGCGATCGCGGCGAAGAGGGCTTGGCTGAGGAGGCTTATGCTGCCGTTGGGTGATGACGGCAGCACGGCATGAAGTGCTATGCTTGCCGTGGTGTTGCGTACGTGTCCAGGTCGAGATTCTTCGTTCTTGCGTCCGTTCGAAATATCGTTATGAACGTACGCTAACATGTTCATTGCTTGCGATCCAGGCAGCTGGCCTTCCCTACTACCCGCATCTCTACTTGTGCCTCGCAGCTAATTCATCGTGATCAGCATTGCTGGCACACCGTCGTGGCCACCAACATGCAAAGTCTACCCCTTTCGAAACTGTGTCCTTGATAGCATGATCACTTTCGCGAGCTCACTGTCAAATACCCGTAGTCTGCTGTCAGCCTTTTCACCAATGCCTCAATGTCTTTCTTGGGTTAAACAGCGACTTGGGACTTGTGGCGTATCCAGCCTAGCCTCGAACATATTGTCATCCACCAACCTCAAAGCGCTACAGTGACCACCGAAGGATCGAATGGCTGTTAATAAATTGCTCATATAGCCAAGAACAAAAAAGACTAGACTCGAAGTATCCACAGACCTTAGTGCAACAGCTGGTTGGCTTGGTATTGCTCGGCTATGCCGCGTTATTCGTTGTATCCGTTCCGACAACCTAGACTACTTGCGTATACCACCCGGGTTATCAGACACATATCACCTCATTCCACAATGCATTGGAAGCTCTGTCGTGAGTTCCTTTACTCATCGAACGCATCTCATCCTTCGCAATACCACAGCAACCATCTGCAAAATGACGCGCAACATACCAGACCAGAAGCCCAAACCGCAATGCCTTCCCATGCTACGACCACTAGGTACGCAAACTCCAACTCGTCGCCTACACCCTCTATATTAACTCACCGCCCCCATAGGCAAATCCGAACAGCTCTCCGCAGTATCCCACGCCCTCGGCTTCTTCAAGAATGTCGGCATGTCCGCCCACTACACCCTATCCAATACTAATACTACCCAACCACCTGATCTACAAAGCGTGGTGTATGCGGCTTTGGCGGATGTCATAAGAAAGCATCCTATCCTATCCGCCATTCCCATCAACGAAGCGACGCCGGACGCGTACTTTGCGCGATTGGAGGTCATCGATCTTGCAAAGTGCGTGTTGTGGAAGACGCGGACGGGGTGTGCTACGCGAGGGGAGGAAGATCGGGAGCTTGATGAGATTCTTGAGGCGCAGCATAATGTCGGGTTTAAATCCGATTATGGTGATGTGCCCTTCTGGCGGTTGATCATACTCCAAGATGCTGGGACGAAACTTAGCTTCACTGCATCGTTCATCTTCCACCATAGTCTCGGCGATGGCGCAACAGGGTCAATCTTCCACACGTCCTTCCTGCAGGGGCTGAACAACACTATCTCCATCCCCTCTCTCGACACCCACAGCAACACATACATACCCATCGACCCCGCCATCCATCTTCTCGCCCCCCTAGAGCACCTACACCCCCTTCCTCTCAACCCCCATCCCCGCTCCCACCGCGCAGACAGCGCCTCGGAGTCGAAAGAATGGTTCGGAAACACAATCCACACTCCCCTGTCGACGCACTACAAAACACTCTTCTTCTCACCGCCAACCACCACAGCCTTCGCAAAGAAATGCAAGGACAACGGCGTAACAGTTACATCCGGTCTTACCGCCGTACTAGCTGGCGCTCTTTTTTCTGCTTTGCCAGACACCGTGGAAGCGCTGACGGGTATCATACCGATTAATCTACGGCCGTGGCTGGATTTACCTGCGACTGAGGCGGATGGGGCGATGGGAAGTTTTATCGATGCGATGAAAGTGCAGGTCAGGCGTGAGCAATATGGGGAAGGCGGTGAGGATGGAGAAAGCAGGATGAGTGGTCTGCGAGCTGCGCGATATACGTCGAAAGAGATCAAGAGGTATCTCGCCAATTCTTCGCCGACTGGCGAACCATACACGTCCATCGCGCCGTTCAAACTCATCCCGGACGTTGCCGCGGTGTTCACGTCTCTGCTCGGCACGACCCGCGATGCTGCGTTCGAGATATCAAATTTGGGCCATCTTCGTTGTGGCGACGATGATGCCGCACACTGGCGTATGGGTAGGATGGTGTTTAGTCGTAGTGCCGTTGTGTTTGGTGCGGCGGTTACGACGAGTGTTGTTACGGGGGCGGATGGAGGGTTGAGTGTGGGGTTTTGTTGGCAGGATGGTGTTGTGGAGAGTAGTTTGGTTGAGCAGGTTATCAAGGATTGCAGGGAGGTTGTTGAGGGGTGTGAATTTTAAAGGTGATGCAGTGAGAGGGGAGTGAATATTAGTCCTCCTGGCTTTAGAAGTGACTTAGCCGCCTTATAGTGTTGATGCGCGCGGAATGGCCCAACGAAATGCTGTTGGCGAGAAGGAGTTGGAGACCTAAGATCTTGCTGAAGAGATAAGCAGCTATTACGTATGGCATTTCTTGATTATTCCACCGAAACACCAGTGCCTGCTTGAACCGCGCAGGCTACCATGTTTGCAGGATGATGTGGGAGACGTCTTCAACTCCGCGCGGACTTGTGTAACGTTGCTTGCGCCACAGTATAGACCCCACCTGCTAGATGCAGCCAAGGGCCATGCATAGCACCTCTGCTGCCTAAACGCTGACAAGCTGCACAGTTTCGCTCCTTTCTAGGGTAGCTTCTGCCTACACATAACGACCATGGCAGTGTTCAATTATCGATACGAAGCGCTGCAACATTACGACTCTTTTCGTATCCTTGTCCTGCACCCGACTCCAAACGCGTTGGACCCCCTCACGTGCACGATACTTCACGAACGACTCTCTGACGACTCCCTCAAATACGAAGCGGTTTCCTACACCTGGGGAAACAGCGGTCTAACGCATGAAATACTCTGCAACCAGCCCCGGCAGAGACTGCTTATCGGAGCGAACTGCCATAGTGCTCTCCGGCGCTTACGGCTAACGAATGAAGATCGAATACTGTGGATCGACGCTATCTGTATCAATCAAGAGGACCTCGTGGAGCGAGCACGTCAAGTCTGTGTGATGAGGAATATTTACAGTGGCGCGTCAGAGGTCATGGTAATGCTCAGCGATATTCCCCCCGAGTGCCGCCTCTTACTGGCAGGCTTAGCTAGAGCGAGGGAACTCATTGACGCACAAGCGGGAAGAGTCGATCTTACCGAGGAACAATATAGAGAGTTGAAAGCTCCACCTGACAGAGGCAGCGTGCGACAGCTGGAAGCTCTATTCGAAGACCCATGGTTCAAAAGAACTTGGGTTCTCCAGGAAGTGTACGAGAAGGCCAATGTAACAATGATGTATGGCACTGCGGCTATAGAGTTCGAAGAGTTAGAGAAGCTGTACTATGGCTATAGTAGCACTAGGGTAACACGTGTCAAGTGGCCTCTGCCATTGCAGTTCATCCAGTCTGGTCGCGCCGCGCAGGAGTACTCGACACTACAGTTCACTTTATGGAATCGGCTACACAACAGCAGAGAGTGTGTAGCGACCGATCCTCGAGACAAGATTTTCGCTCTGAATTCTTTGCTTGGTTCTCGCCAATCGGAAATGGACTATCTTGTTGACTACGCGCAGAGTGTGGAAGTTTGCTTCAAACGCATTGCAGGCTTCCTATTACCTGTGGTGGGCCTCCGCATGCTTCTTGCTGTACGTCACCCGCATAGTTTAAACATGGCTAGTTGGATCCCAGACTGGTCTCAGAACCTGCCGCTCGAGCGTTCAGCTTTTGAGTTCGAGTCCGAAGAAGCGATGGATTTTTATGACATGTCGATTGCCGCTACTGTAGACGATCGTGAACGCGTTCTGCGTTCATACTCTTGTACCGGGCTTGGAACTAGTCCGAGATTGCACGTTGTGGGATATCGACATGCGCAGATTGTGGAGTGTAGCGAAAACTTTGTGTTTGACAGCATTGACGACGCAGAGTTTCAAATGCGTCGACTTTACAACTCCCTCGACCACGTCAGGCAAAATCTCGATGAGTCAAGCAAGACCACATTTGCCACCACGACTCATCTCTTCAGCCAAAGGGTTCATGACGGTAAGCGATGATCAACTTCTCAAGAACCCCCGAATTTGTGTTATAGACTGATGAAACCAAAGCTCTGTCTCTCATAGATGGTATCGAGCTTCATTGTTACCTTCACCGCGGTCATGGCAATGTTGTGAGTTCTCCCTCCCTCACCGATGCCAGCTTTCCTCCTGATTCACCACCAGAACAATCCGATCAGCCTCCAAGAAAACGTTGAACATCTTTACAAAGCCCTTCAGCATTGCATGATTGGCCTACTGGATAACGATGACCTCGTCATTGTACCCCATGCTACGAAACCCGGCGATGTGCTTTGCATGTTTTCTGGCGCAGTCGCACCATGTCTCCTTAGGCCAGATCAAGATGGATGTTGGGCTCTCATTAGCGGTGATTGTTACATGTTTGGGGTAGATATCGACACCATGTCTGAAATGGACGAGTACATTCATCTCAACCAAAGTTTTGTAGAAGATTTTACACTGCGATGATACAAGTCTTTAGTTGAGCAATTTAGCAGCGTTTTGGATCTACCCTGGTGATTTGTGGGCTCATCCAAGAGCACTACAGCGTTACTCCGACCCCAAGCATATCCGTCCATCATATCACTTCAAACCCCTTGCTCTCGTACCGTGCATCTACAAACGCTTGCAGATATCCTCAACAATCTCCTCCGTCTTCGCCTTCCCCCCCATATCAGGACTCAACAACCTCGCCTCCTCCAAATTCCCATCCACCGCTTGATAAATCCTCGCCGCCGCCTCCTCCTCACCAATAAACTCCAACATGAGTGCCGTGCTCCTAATCGTCGCAATCGGGTTCGCAATACCCTGGCCCTCGATATCAGGCGCAGACCCATGGCACGGCTCACCAATCACAAAGTCTTTGCCCACGTTGGCGGAGGGAACGAGACCGAGGGAGCCGACTAGGGCTGCGGCGCCGTCGGAGAGAATGTCACCGTAGAGGTTGGGGGCGACGATGACGTCGTAGTCTTGGGGTTGGCGGAAGAGTTTGTAGACCATGGAGTCTACGATTTGTTCTTCGATGTTTACGCCGCCGTATTTCCTGTTTTGCAGCGCGCGGCGAGCGGTCTCGCGGAAGAGGCCGTCTGTTTGCGATAGCACATTGCTCTTGTGTGTGATGGTGACGAGTGGGGAGGAGTGAATAGACTGCGCGCCGGCGTCGCGAACGCGTTGGCGGCGGAGGGCGATGTCGCCGGCCATTTCGGAGATGTTGAAAGACGCGGTTTCGGAAATGCGCTTGATTGCTTCGGCGATTTTGGAGCCGTCGGGCGCGGTGTACGTCTTTTCTTCTTTGACGTAAAGATCCTCGGTGTTCTCCCTCACAATCACCAAATCCACATCCCTCGCCGCGCCCCTAACACTCTTAACAGGCCGCACATTGGCGTACAGCTTCATCTTCTTGCGGAGGGCGACAATGGGGCTCGAGTAGCCCTTGGTTTGCACGGTGGGCGAGCTGACGGCTCCGAAGAGGGCGCCATCGCAGTCAGACTTGAGGGCTTCGACCGTGGCGTCCGGGAGGGCGGCGCCGGTCTTTTGGAAGGTTTCCCAGCCGGCTTCGTGGTGCGAGAAGGAGAATTTTAGGCCAAAGGACGAGGGCAGCGCTTCGAGGATGCGGCGGCCCGCGGGGATGACTTCGCGGCCGATGCCGTCGCCGGGGATGAGGCCTGGGGTGTGTTAGTCGATTCGCATGGCAATTGATGCTATTGGCGCGTGGCAAATCAATTGATCGTCTTACCTATCCTCAAAGTGCGTGCGGCCATGTTGGGGATGTGATGCGGGTGTGACAGCTTCGCGGTGGAATTTTTGGTGTTGCTGCAGCTGCCGCCGAAGTTCGGAGGTCCGAGCTTCTTTTACCGGCGCCCACGTTGTGTCCCCGCGGGGGAGAACGGAGATTGCCATCCAAGGAAATTAATGTCAAAGTTATATTGACTGCTGCATTTGCTGCCCATACCGAGCGCGATTGCATACCATCCTTAACAATAGCCCCAGCCTATTCCACTCCATCCCATCCCACAATACCCATACCTCCCAAACGCCATACCAATGCCCTCCCCCAGTCAATCCAACCCCCAACCCAACCCCCCATCACCATCACCAAACAAACTGCGGATACCAAGACCCAATCCCCTAATCAAGGTCGCTATTCCCATCCTCCTTCTTCCCACCGCCACCATGAACCTCCTCAAACTTCTCCTTCGGATCTTCCGCACCCTCTTTCTTAGCTTGCTCCGTCGGCAGTAGTTCTATAACCACGACAAAGAGCTCCTGGTTGGTTTCCCGGTTCTTGAGCACATATCTAAGCGTGTGCGGTCTGATTAGTGAATGCCTTCAAGTCAGCTCCGTATCCCGAGGTCCAAAGAAATGGGGGAGTAGTAGTAGTGGTGGTGGTTGTGGTAGTAGTGGTTGTGGTGACGACGATAATGGGGGATACAGGAGGTTGAAGGAATGTGTGACTTACCGCAGCGGCTGTCCGTCCCAGTGCCCAATCATACTTATAACAGGTAATCCATACCCGATCTTCAGCGCAAACTCATTGAAATCGAGATACGGGTTGAAGAAATCGCACTTGTATTCCCTGCCAGCCTCAAACACAAAGTCCTTCCTGTTCTGCTCCGTGAGGAAGAACTTTTGTCGCGCGCTGGCTCTGTCGGGTACGTGTTTGCTCTTCCTGACGTCCACGCCGTCGCCATCTGCGCCTTCTTCGTATACAACAGCCTCGCCATCGGAGCCAGGTACTTCCACGTCTCCTTCTGTTTGTGCCTCGCCTTCCAGGTCGCCCTTGGCCGGCTTGTCCGCGTCCTTCTTGCTGCCGATGCGCAGGACGTTTATGGAGGAAAGAAGCGCGCCGTAGAGATATGGCTCGTCCGCGTATACATCGCCGTCTAGCCCTGGGTCAATCCACCACCTAACTACCCCAAACGCCTTGTCGAACAGCGGCGGTAATCGGTCGCGGATAGGGTGATCGAAGTCGTTGCCAAAGACTAGCTTGTCGCCGGCGATGTCTTGTTTGGGTGTGAAGGAGAAGGATATCGAGTAGCGATCGTACGGGTGCTGGGGTGTGGAGAAGTAGGGTGAGGTTTTTGGGGAGCCTTCTGGCAGGCCTGGGCTGAGTTAGTGGCTGGAGCGTTGGAGGGGCAGGAGGACGAGGGGTCCGGGTGGGAGGCGTACCGCGGTAGTCTTTGATGCGCATGTGTACGCGCGCGTCGATCAAGTCGGAGGATATGTCGACGGGCTTTTCGCTGTTGACTAGGACATCTTCGTGTTTTGACGTGTCGTAGGTTGCGCCCGCCGTGACGTGCAGTATGTACTGCTCGTGCGTCGCCATGTTTGCTTGGGAAGGCTAACTAATGTGTCAAGTCTGGATTGGAGATCAAATCCGAGTAAAGAATAGGTTTTCTATACGAGTGAGTAACGCCTGAAGTGCTGCGTGGGATCTTCGTAATGTTCGTCAGTATTGATCACACGCGCTGCCCCAAAATTTGGTGATGAGCGATGACGTTCCGAAGCCGCACGGGAGCAGGGATTGCGGCACTAGCCCTTAACCAGCAAAGCGCGATCTGCCATGCGGCGGGCGCTGTCACTCTAGGCGTGGCATCAAGGCGAGTGCGCATTTGGTTCAGGGTACCGAAAAACAATATCGTGCATCGTTGACACCGAAGTTTCGGAAGGAATGGTGAGTGAAGCATGAGTTAATGGTCAATACACTCCATTACCTACCAACTTCCGTACCCGCGCGTCAACACGAAACACTCCCCTCACACCCTCGTAAAAGCATCAACATCCACCCTCTGATAAAAGCTCACATGCCCAAACGTCTCCCAATACTGCGCCAGCCGATCATGGCTGATGAGGATAAGCTGGCTTGTCATGTAGTTATCTGTTTTCGAAGTTAGCATCCATCTTCTCACACATTATCTCATCTCCCCCATATCAAGTCCCCCTCCCGTTCTCCATCCTCCGCCCTCCACAACCCCTTCACAGTTACCTAGGTACCGAAGGAAAAGATAAACATACCATCCCTAAACCCCGTCGCAGCAATATGCCCCACACTCCTCACAATGCGCGCGCCCTTGAAAATCTCCTCTTTCGCAACCCGTATCAAGCCATTCGGACCAATATCCGGTGCTATGAATGTGTATTCGCCGCGGGGGATGTTTGGGTCGCCGGTGAGTTTGACGGCTTCGATGCGGCCCGTGTATACCGATTCGTTATCCGCGATGTTACTGTCGTCTAGTACTTCCCCCGATCCAGAAACGTACTTGTGATACTGCTCTTGTAAAGTGGCGACGCTATCTTCAAGATCATCCGCGTTCTCCATCGCCGGCCCACCAACCTCAACACCACCATCAACAGATCCCTCCTCGTCAGCAGAAGAACCCGCCGCATCCGTCGGCGCCGTCGTCCAACTCCCCTCACTACTCACACTCTCCTCGCGCTCCCTCGCCCGCATAGCCCACAGCGCACGTTCAGGCAACGGCGTCGCATCCCGCTCATCCGGCTGCATGATAGCCAGGAACTCGCAGCCGTGGCCCGCGTAGTCGCCGCACCAAATCCCCTGCCATGGTTTCTGGGGCGTGGGCGTGTAGCTCTCCTCAGGCAGGGTCGCCCACGTCGTCACGTCCTCACCAATACGCATGCCCATTCCAAGTACGCGCGTGGAGAACTCCATCCAGCGGCGAATCCGGAACGTGGATTCCGAGAGCTGGGAGAGGGTCGCGGGCTTCTGGCCTGGTTGGCGGTAGCCAGAGGGGGAGTGGTCGTTGCGCGTGCGGTCTGCGCTGGGGAGGGTGAGGGGTGGCCAGACGGGCGTCGCGTCTGTTGTTATAGCTGGTGGCCAGGGGCGGGTGAGCATGAGTTGGGAGAAGAGGGATGCGGCTTGTTGTTGGCGGTCGCGGTAGAGGGACATGCGGATTTCTTTCTGGAGGCGGTATCCTATATTCCCGACGGCTTCGTCGTAGGCGTCGCGGTTTAGACGCACGATGGGCGCGTTGAGGTCGAGGCGCACGTTGGGGCTGAAGGTGTGGATTATGGCTTCGGGGTGTTGGTCCCAGGATAGAGCTACGGGCGATCGTCGTTCGGCGACGAGGGCGTAGGCTTCGATTGCGTTGAGTCGGTGGTCGTAGCGCGCGATGAGCAGTTTGCCGGTGTGGGCTGTGTCGGCGAACCAGATCTTGCGGCGTGCGATGAACCAGTATGGGTGGTGTTCTTGGTATAGTTCTCGCCAGGTGAGGCGCGCTGGTTTCGTGATGTTGGGGACCTCGGCTTCTACGAAGACCTGCCAGAGCGTGTCTTGGAATGTGTGGGTGCGCAAGACTTTGCTGACCATGCCCACGGTGAGGAGGTCTGATAGGGTGAGGTAGCTGAGCACATGGTGGAGTAGTTCCGAAGGGAGGTTCAGCAGCGGCGGGATGGGCGTCTGCGGTGCCGGGCTTTCTGTCTCGCGAATCCGTAGCTCCATGGTATCGATTGATGGTGTTGAGCTCCTTGAAGATGTATGCAGCCTCTTATTAGGAATCGATCGACCGTTGAAGTACCTCAGCCAGGGTGGCGAAAAGCTTAAGTAGCAACCACGTCCGTCCCTCTTACCTCTTGACCTCTTTTATGCAACCCGCACCGAAAAGAGGAGTAGTGAATCGTCACCCCAAGACTCAATATAACGCCTCAATCGTCGGTCCTGCAGGGCGCTCTTCCACCCGATGCTACCGTCTCGGCAACGTTCCGTGGTGACACCTTCCCACCTTCGCCTAGCCTTAACAAGTCCGGGGTAGATTGGCGTGATCAAGCAGCGAATACGAGCGCTATGCAAGATCAAAGCACCAACTCGCGTATCTTGGACGCGCTGAGTACCTGCTCTTTTAGGTGTCTGGTGTTTGATGTTGCTTTGCGATGATGACGATGTTGCGATATCGGATGATGCGCTGCAAGGGTAAGGCGGCTCGGGAATGTCACGGGTGCGACGGCAGAGGGTGAGGAGGAGCAGAGAGATTGATGTAGAGGTTTGCCGCTGACAAAGGTGAGGGAAGTGGTTGAATGCAAGGAGATAGGTGCTTGTCGTCGCCACGCAGGCGTGATAGGTGCGTGTCGGTCACGATATCGCAGTACGTCACCGTCCGTCCGTGCGCTGCCGCATAGCTGGCTTTTGTGGGGTACGTCGAACTTGACTTCTGCCACCACCACATTTTGAGGCAGACATCGCATTTTTAGGGTACGCACGTCGCGACAGCTTGTAGCCAGGAGGTATCCAGTGATAATGGGGTGAGTATCTGCGCTGACACAAAGTGACTCCACGACGACATGTCACCGTGCGCCCGGAGATGTGAGGATACAAAATCACAGTTGAGGCATACATCATCGTTGGGAAACATCATTCATTCAGGCCAGATTTCAAGCCAGGCGACGACATCAACCCCTACATACTTCCACCCACCAAACCCCCCAAACCCCCCAACCGCCTACAAGTCCTTGAACTTGCCCTTCCAGGCCGGCTTCACCGGCGACCTCTTCACCACGCCCACCGGCCCCTTCCCCATCTCCCCCTCCCTTCTCTTCTGCTCGAAAGCCGCCTGTCTCCTCCTCTCCCTCTCCTCCTTCTTCTCCGCCAACCCACCCACAGTCTTCTTCATGGCCGAAGCCCGATCTGCTTTGCGGAGCAAAGTCTCTTCAGCCGCCTTGTTCTTCTTCAGCTCTTCCTCGAGGAACTGGCGGCGGCGGCGGAGCTCCACGAGCTGCTCTTGGATGCCGTCGGCGGAGTCCTGGTGGGCGGCCTTGGCGGCGGCGGCGACGACGTTGGTCTTGGTGGTGGCGGCGGCGGCACGACGGCTCCTGACCTCGTCGAGGAGGCGGGCGTCGGCGGCCTCCTTGGCTCCGGCTCCGTACATGCGGATGGGGGGCGAGGCGTACATGATCGCGATTTGGCTTGGTCGCGGATGTGGTGTGGGTGTGTGGTGGTGGTGAAGTGGTAGTATGGTATGACTTGTTTTCAATTCTAGTCTTGAATGTAGTGGTGTAGTGGTATGGTAGTGTTTGAAAAGTAATTGGATGTGTGAGATGGATAGAGAGAGCTGGAGAACAGAAGAGTTGGAGACGAAAAGACTTCTTATATAGTCAGGACTTCTTGGCTGGGACGACGTCTATTCTGCTGGTATTACAATAGCAAGGACTGCAAAAGTGAAGGTGAGTATGCAAATTTTCGCTGACGGCTGGTTTCTATAGGGCACAATAGCAGACGATACGTTGGAAACGATGAGGCTGGGCGAGGTGAAAGGGCCTGGGGACCAATGACAGCTCTCTGAATCGACTTCGAAGTGAGCGCGACTTTGGCTGCGGGCTTTCTACTGGCTGCGAACTTGAAAATATCGACCGCTCGATGAGTCTGCGCTACCGCAGAACGTTTCAGATACCTCGATTGCTATTGTCGACCCAGTCACGTCGGTTCAAGCGCTGACGTAAGTGCGCTGCGAACCTTGGGAACAGCCAAGTCAAACATCACATACTGGAACAAATACCCAAGCTGGAGTATGAACACGACCATGGCATTCGCGCAACGTTTTCATCTATGATAGTAATATGCGCACGCAACCACCAAGCAAGAGACACGCGACGATTCAGGCATGACAACCATGTCATCACCTCGATACATCCCCAATCAACGCGCACCCGCCTTCTTCTCTTTCTGCCAGGCCCTGGTCGCCTGCAACCACTCCTCCGGATCCGAAGGCGTCACCATATCCTTATCCCAACCCTCCATCTTCTCCATCTTCTCCATCTCCCGCAAAGTGAAGTCCGTCGTAGGCCGTAGCATCCACTCAGGAAGCGGACCACTGGTCACGAAGTCCTCGACGTCTTCTATGAACCAGGCTTCTGGGTAGCTTAGGTCGGCTAGTGTGTCTTCTTCTGGCTCAGGCTCAGGTTGCTCTTCTGGCTGTGAGGGTGAGGGTTCCTCGGCGAAGGCGCGTTGTGTCATCCCGATGAGGTCCATTTTGCCGAAGTTGGGGGGTAGGTCGGGCATAATCCATTCGTTGCTGTCGGTACTGTCGTCGAAGAGGTAGTCGTTGACGTTGCCGAAATCGATGGGGTGGCTGTGAGTGGGATTGATGGGGGTGTCGGAGAAGAGGTAGTCTAGTTCGTGGCCTTCGTTGTCGTTTGAGACCGCGAGAGCCGCAATCTCGTCGGTAGTTTCAGCTTGGCCTTGAGAAGCGTCCTTCGAGTTGGCACGCGCAGTCTCCTCAGCTTGCTTCCGCGCAGCTGCCTCGGCTTCCTTCCGTGCAGCTTCTTCGACCGACTTCTTTGCAGCTGCCTCTGCCTCCTTCTTTGCAACTTCCTCAGCGTCCAATCGCAGTGCCGTCGCCAGTCGTCTTACACAGCCACTCATGTTGCTGTTCACATCATCCCTAGTGATCTTCAGTCCGCCAAGCATAATAGGCTCACGGTCTCTGATCTGCTGTTGCAGCATGCGCATCGCTGCCGGTGAATAGTTTACATCAGGTTTCTGTGCCACAGGCGACGAAGCTGCAAGCGTGGAAGACTTGTCCGGCGAGAGTGTGTGGGTGGTGGAGGACATCTTTGGGGTATTGGTGGAAGCGGAAGTGCGCTTTAGTGCTGTGCTTGGGCTTGTAGCCATTTGGGTTGGTGCTGGACCTGGTCCAACTGTACGGTTTGTCGCCGCGCCTGATGGCGGCAGCTGAACGTCAGCTTGCTGTCGAATCGCATTGCGAGTTGGCTTCGGAGCTTGCTGTTGCTGTTGGCGCTGCTCTTGCTTTCGATTCATAGAGTGTGGTGTAGTCAGATCGTCACCATGATGATCCGGCTGCGCAGAGGCGACTGGCGACAGTGTCTGAGGCGGCGATGTTGCATATTGCGCCAAATGGTGAGCGAAAGAGGGGGCTGTTGCAGATGCAATCGCAGTATGCTCCTGCGACCTGCGCTGAGGAGAGAAGCTGGCAAGTTCCTGCTGTCGATGTGATCCATTTGGAGGCAATCCATTGTAGCCAAATGCAGGTTCGCCGGCTTGACGCTTTGCTGCTGGAGCGGGACTTGTTGATATGGCCGAGGTGGCGAAAGCTCGGTTTGGCGAAGTGGTGAAGGTAGGTTGCGCTTGAGATTGCGGGTGATACACAGGATGGGCTGGTGACCTCGCTGTATTGCCCGTGTCGACTGGATGTTGAACTGGCCACTGCGGTGGAGACTGATGCTGGAACTGCCGCGATGTCGCGTGTGCGGGTGTATTCTGTTGCAACGGGGACATCTGCTGAGTCGGCGACGCGGATGGAACGAATGGCTGTGGCGCATATCCCTGTGGACTAGCCTGACGGGCAGCCTCGACTGGAGTCCTCAGAGCAGGCGCCGCTGCAAGACGAGGAACTGACGACGCTACAGGACGAGGAGATGGCGTCCCAAGTCCTTGCCCCCCTTTGCTCCTTCCTTGTACACCCCCCAACACCCCATCCCACCTCCCCACCTCCCCCCCAAACTCCCCCTTACACTTCTTATTCCAATCCCCCCACGTCTTATGCGCAACATGCAGTTCCCCCTTAAGCACCATCTCCTCAACCCTCGTCTTCCACGCCCGTATCTGCTTGCCAATAGCATGTTTCTTGTTCTTCTCTGTAAGACCTTCCGAGCAACACTTGTGGTGGCTACCCTCAGGGTGTAGGCACTTGTAAAGACCGTCAGGCCTCTTTGTACACACCGCGAGTGAGTCTTCGGTGGGATATTCGGGGACGGGGGCTTTGTCGAGGGGATGTACGCGTCGGTCAGGTTTTGTGTCGCCCCATTTCCGTCGAATGGCGAGGATCTCGGCTGGCGAGTCCATTCCGGGGGTTTGTGTGATGGGAGCGGGAGTTGGTGGTGATGTTGTTGAGGGTGACTTACGTCGCACGTCGCGACAGCCATTCGTTTCCCAAGCGTGCAGTTTCTCGTACCAACGTGCTTTGGGGTGCGTCTGCTGCGCTTTGCACCAGGCTTCGATTGCGGGTTTGTTGGAGTTGTAGCGCTGCTCTTGCGAGGTTGTGATGGAGTCGTTGCGGGCGCGCTTTGCGAGCGCTTCTTGCGATTCATCTTCTGATCGTGGGCGCTTTTGCGGTTGGTGAGCCATGGGTGGTTGGATAGAGGTAGGCGTATACGGGTTCAGTCCAGGTGGTGTGCTCGCCGTGAACGTAATGTGAGGAGACGACGTATCGCTACCTGCCGGCGATCCCGCGATCGGTGGAGACATCGTATGCGCCTGGGCTCCTTGTGGAGTTGCGATTGGGATTTGGTGGCTGTGGCGTCGATGTCAAGCGGGTGGTGTTGTGCGTTCCCGTGTGCTTGTCGAGAGTTGTCGAGAGTTGTCTGGGGCGAGATGAGTGATAGTGGGTACGCTGTAGAACCATAGTTCCTACCCATTGAGGAACAATTGAAAAGTGAATGGTCAACTGCATTCACCAATGACGTAGCGTATCTTGGAATACAGACCCGTGGTTGAGGATGCGAGCTACCTTGGTCCAACGAACTTCAACTGTGGGAGACGCAGTTACGCTAGGGGACTACAAAGACATCAAGATGTGTAGTCAAGTTGTACGTAGAAGGACTTGAGGTGTACATGCATCCAGTCATGCATAGATGCAAGAGACGCGATCACATTGTAACCAGCTGAGCTAAACATGCAAAAGTAATCTTCGTATCATTCACTACAGATAGTTGTAACACCCGAAGAAACTACGTAACATACAAGACAGCCCTTTCATAGCTGCAATGTCTGCTAGGAGGGTTCTTTGAGTGTTACAACCACCTGTCGAAATGTCATTCGTCGAAGCATGAATAGACTTGAGAAAACAAAGATATATGCAAAGTGACAACAACCCCATCCTCCAATATCTTACCCCAACACCACCCCCCCTCCGCTCCCACCCCCCTAAGCCAACCCCGTACCAACACTCCAAGTCGCATCCGCATTAAAACTCGCCGCGGCATCAAAATCATGAACTCCCCCATTACTAGCAATATCCCCAATATTGTTGTAATGACGAATATACCTCGTCGGATACCCCCACGCCCTAATCGAACTCCCCGAGCCCGTAAAGCCGGCTTGAGGACAGAACGTCGCATCCTCCTTGAACGCCTTCGACCCATCATTCGACTGCAGCTGCAACACAAAGTTGAAATGACGAATATAACTACCAGCCGTATCCTTCGATTCAAACGAGAAACAAGCGCTATTCGCCAGACCAGCGCGTACAGTCCAACTAGCCTGTCGCTTGAGCAGTGCGGTGCTGGAGGAAGAAACGACTTGCGTGTTGACCGTAGCGCCAGTGTGCGCGAGGTAGCGATCCGTGTATCCAGCGGTCGTGGCGCGGAACGAGATTGATGATCCGACTGTGTAGGCGGGGCCGCTGGTTAGGCTTGTTGTCGCGTATTTCGCGGCGACGATGTTGGCTTGCACTGCGTTCTCGGTCGCGTCGGTGGGGTAGCCGGATGTCATGACTCCCTCGTAAAAGGTTCCTTGCGCTCCGTTGCTGTTGTCGCCGCCGATGCCTAGGATGATGGCGCCTTCTTTGCTCATGGGGTTGTAGCCTGAGGCGCTGGGTCGCGCGCCGTTGTAGTATGTTGACAGAGAGCCGGATGCAGCGTTGCCGCCGCGAAGAGCCCACTTGTTTGCTCCGCCCTTCAAGACGGTGGTGAGGAAGCGGTCTGTGAGGGTGGGATCTGCTGGGTTGTTCTTCGGGGACATGCCGGAGAAGAGACCGTTTTCCAGATCGGCCATTAGCCAGGGGCCGGAGCCGGCGCCAGTGCCCCAAATTGTGTTCGTCCCGAAGTAGATAGCTTCCATGTGGCCGTTCCCTGTGGTGTTTGTTAGTGAAATGAGTGATGAGGTTGTGTGGGAGTGTGCTTGCCTGTGTCGAGGTTGTTGGTCTCGGCGTTGCCATAGTCGAAACAGCATGCGTCGTTGAAATGCGTTCCATCGAGCACAGCGTACATGCCCTCTGCTGCATCGCCCGTCGCTGAACCGCTTACTTTATTGTTGCGATATCCGGTACCTGGTGAGACGAAGACACCATATGCCTTCTTTCCATTCAGCGTGACTGGTGCGCCGATGGCTCCGGCCAGGTTGTCATAGCCATTAGCTTCCGGGCCATTAAAGCCTCCGGGAGGAGCTTGAGTGAGGTGGTTACCACGACCAGATTGATCGTAGATGATGGTGATGAGACATGTGGTGTTGGCGCAGAATTTGTCTTGAGTCGCGGCATTGGCTACACCACCAGCGGAGAGAGGTGCGACATTGGTGGTAGCGCCATCGGATCCGCGCTTGACTTGATAGAGGGAACCGCTGAAGGAATTGTAAAGTGCGCGAGTAGTGCTGTGAGCAGCGATGCAAGGCGTGTTGCCGGAGGCGTAGATGTCGCAAGGTCCAGCGGCAACGAAAGAACCTGTAGCGACTAGGCCAAGCGCGGCGATCTTGGATGGGGAAGGCATGACTGGCTGTTACTATTATTACCACGAGAGAAGAACCAGGCGATCGTCTGGATCACCAGAGTATTGGTACATCGCCCACATTTAAACAAATGTCTCTGCAGCCTCGTTCTTACTGTGTCAATATACATAGTTCGTGTTTGCGTCCGTGGACTAGATGAGAAAGGCAGTTGGAAATGCACGGAGTGCAATTTCTCCTCCAACAGCGACAAGGCCTGTACTTTTATCAGCCTAAGGACGTCACGAGGTTGCAACTCCAGGTTCTCTGGCGCCTGCGCTCCCCGTATTTTGGCTGTGTAGATTGCGGGGGAGACCAGGGTATAAGGCTGTAGCTCCGGAAGATATAAGCTTTGCCGAGGAACACCCATCTGACGAGGCGCTCACTACCCACATACCAACCACCTCCCATCAACACATCACGATTCATCCTCTCTGCTTTCTTTTTTTGACACAACGGAATCCACCATCCACCCCTCCACCGCCCCTCCGCCTCCCCGCCGCCTCCTCCACCCATCCTTGGACAAGGTCTAAGGTCGTAGTGCCGGAAGAAATAAGCTTTGCCGAGGAACATCAGTCGGATGACAAGACCTAGGCTAGCGTTTCCAAGAGCCGTCGGAGTCTACGCCGTTACGCCGCATACACGTGAGAACGTATCCGTAACTTTCCATACCAGGCAGTGTGAACATTTTACAGTTCCTGATGCTCCACCGTCACGAAGTGCGAAAGTTCGTCTCGGCATCCACCTCCGATGGCGTTCTAGATCCGATCGTCCTTTTGTGACAATGCCGACAGGTATGCGTGTGACGTATAAACCTTGAATCGTTGTTTTGAAACGCGAAGTGAGCCAACTCATGCAGTTTGAAGCTCGTTGGTGTCAATAGTATCGCGGCGAAGGTTTGCAGGGCCAGAATTCACCGCTTACGGCATGCTTATGGTCGGGCGCTTTCGCAATTGGGTGGTTGGAGTTGCTTCAATAGTCTTGCCGATGTTCGCCGGGTGAGCTCAAGGGCTGCGATCCAAGGGTACCGTGGATAGGATGAAGATGGCGTAGAACGCCTTCTCTCTCAGTCCAAGGCTGCGAAAGTGTTGAGCTGGGTCGTTGAAATTCCTGTGCGCGAAGCTAAGAGCTGTCATACTGCCGACATGTTAGCCTTCCGTCATTGACGTCCAATGCGGGCCGCTCACTACACGGATGCACGAGTTGGGCGTGTGGACGTAGTGGCGCGTCGCACTGAGATTATTGATGTATTCGGCGTCCAGGCCGTCTGTATTCTGAGATGTCTATTTTTGTACCCTTGATAGAGTCGTCGAACGTGGTATCATATGCTAAAGCGATGCAGAAAAGTCCACCAAGATATAAGCGCCCCCAATATGCCAGTCGTAACTTTATGTTTCACGCTTGCGCGTACATGATGCGCGACGTGAGATCTTTGATGTCGGTTCGAGGACGCTGTCGCTATCCGTATTGATCGCGCAAGTCGGGTCGTGGTGTCACCGGTCGTGTCCGCTGGATCGCGGTGCCAACGGTGGTAATGGCATGTGGTTCTCGTGAAGGTCACCGTGTGTCTCGTACCGCGCCGGACGTTGTTTCATGCGCTCGACTTGCAGTTCCACTTCGCTGGTCAAAGTGATCGTCATGTCGGTGTCGGTAGTCATGTTTCCATTGTTGCTTTTCGGGCGGACCTTGCCCCACAGGCGCGACATCCCCGTTTTAGGAGCTTCCTCCTCTTCCAAAATAGCTTCCTGGCTTCCTCGTTCCAGATCCTGTTCTGTATCCGCCCAATGCTTCATCTCATAGCTGTTGCCTTTGTCGTTTGCGAGTTCTGGCGCATTGCGCGGTGCTGTGGATTTCCGGTTCGTGGAGGAATGCGACGCTGATGCATTGGCGGTTAGCGTCTTTGATGAGTTCGCGCTCTTCTTGAAGGATATGCCACCTGAGAAGGATTGCGATAGACTGAAAGGGATCTTCGCGAGGAGAGGTTTTAGTACTGGGGCCGAGGCGCATATCTGTGGCCAGTAAGCATCATGTCACTGCTTAGCAGTCGTACGTAATAACTTACTACACCCAAGTCTATCTCTACAGCGGCCGCAATCCACAGTGGATATGCGTACCAGGTTTGATCGTACTCGTTGTTAAAGAGACTCCGATAGATGAACCAGGTACGCACAATACCAGCAGCAGAGACAATTAGCCCCATACCGAATAGCGCGGCGACAGCCATGCGCTCACGCAGACGCATGTGAAGCTGGAATCAGTTAGTAGTGTTTTGCCTTGCATATGGGGTTGAGCCAACTCACGCCCATGACCAAAGGTATTGGTGTTAGGGTAGTCAGAAAATCCGCGACACAGTTGATAATTCCACAAATGAGAGTCGCAGTCCCCTCGTCCATGCAAGTGTCTGCCGGTGCGCCGATGGTCCAGTAGTTCTTGATTGGGGTGCAGAAGAAAATGGCGATGAAGGGAAACGATATCAAGATGCCGAGTGTGTAGGCAACATTGACATGCACAGCCCACTTGAACCATCTAGACGAATTAGCAAGGCTGTTGGGATGCAGTAGCAACGCCGATAGTACTCACGTCTTCCCCGAGTCTGTGACCAATCGGTAGTAGAAGCAATGCAGAGAGAGTCTCGTGAAGCTCGCGGCTGCTGTGAAGACGACCTTGGCGGTCATGGCGATCTTGTAGGCCGGAACGAACATGTGAAAGGGTATATCCCAAACATGTCTATAGTGATTTGATGATCAGCTGTATGCGATGCGAATGGAAATCGGGCTATTTACCTATCCCATCCATATCGAAGGTTTGCCAGGAGAACGACGGCAGTGAGACCGCACGTGAAGAGCAGCGCAAAGAGGATGAAAATATCGTCAATACCGAACCACCTCTTGATGACAATACGGGTGTATAACCGCGCAATCACAACGAGGATGGTTAACGCGATGAGGATGCTGTTGACGATGAGGAGGGCAGGGCCGCGCGTTTCCGGATCGATGTAATTCGGAGTCGGCCAACCCAACAGGACGTCCACCGGAGGCAGCTGCATACTGGATTATCGTGGGCCTGCCCGGGGAAGTATGCTCGACATGTGGGCGTGGAGGATTGACGAGCTGCGGATAGACGGGCCAGGTCAAAGAAACGAGATCGAGAGCTTGCCACTAGGATAGGGTCTCGAGGGTTGTGTTCAGTGAAGAGTGGGGCTGCGCACATGGCCGTTAGCTCCATCCATGTCATGAAGCGCAATGGCGCGCTGGCTACCGTCACGACGCTGGTGTCGCATTGGCTTCGAAGCTCGGAAGGTACACGGACCGTACGCAAGGCACGATAATCGTGGCGCATCAGCGGGGTCTTGCATGCGGCGCACGAACTCTCCGTGATGGGTGGAACCCAAAATCACGACAAAAGGTTCTGCCAACCGCACGATCCGGGCAGCAATGACGAACACTTGGACGGGTTCGCTCCTTCATGATCCGCCCAGGCATTTTGAGTGCATCCCAATGGCCTCGGAGATAATTCCATTCTGCCCATCCGGTCGGTAGCAAAGATGGTTCTTGGTTGGACACTGGCTTACGGGACACCAATTTCCGCCTCGCCGGCAGTACAAACATGCCGCCACGACAACGAGTATGGCAGTCCCTTGCACAAGAACACGGTCATGTCTCAGGTCACAGGGACCTCCAATGGACGAGTCGTGCCACCTGTGGCTACGGGAGCTAGGTCTTGGCCGAATTGGAAGCTTCCGGGAGGCACCAACCAGTATCATCCGGCAATAACGGGGGGCTGTATAAATCGTCGAAACTTTCTAGACCCTGAAACCATGTGTTGAATGCAGCAATCGACGCGAAACATGGTGTTGATCCAAGGGTTCGTAGTTGTGGAGGGAAGGTCTGCCTGTGCGTGCGGCCAGGTCAGATCAGGCATCCCACGCTAGCGCCGACCGAACAGGGCCTAGCGTCGGATCTTTGTCACCCTGCAGCGATCCATTGCTGTTCCGCCCCACTCGTATCCTCCATCGTCGAACTCAAAACTACGGGGGCATTTCGATCTAATTATGTTGCGAAGGAATCACAACGACTGTGCCGCTTGAACATCGGCACCCGACAAATGGCTGCGAATATCTCCGAGGACGCCGACATCACGGATATCACGGACCCGTTGACAGCGGTGTGGCTGTTGCACGCTGACGTGCAGTGTTCACAGTTCAACAAACCTTCGTAAAGTAGGTCGTGCAGTTCTCGCGGCATTGGGTGCGGTCATATAGCGCCGACACCAGGGTACTGGAGCTTACGCGTGCCGATGTATTTTGCAGAACCCATCTGCTACCCACTCGTGCCACTCTTTGATGGCTGCGGCGTGGGTATCGCTAGTGTATGTACCGACTCGTTCACGTATGACGCCTACATGCTCGAACGATGAATCCTTCGCTCCATCGGTTCCAAAAGCCACACCGCTGGATCCATGTGCGATATCCTCCGCATACATGGACGATGTTCGCGCTCAGGCCCCTGACTCGATATGAGGCTGATACGCCCTCCTTTGCGCTGCCGGGACACGGCTGCCACGAGGCTGGCAGTGGCGTGCACCTAATTCCATAGCGCGCGCAATGCACGAGCACATCGGCGTGCTCTCGAGACGAGGTTTGGCGTTGCTTGAACTTCGATGCCCGGGCATATGTCTCTTTCTGCGTCGATTCTGGCGCTGAAACATTCTCTTTCGGCTTCAGATGCTGATGTCGCAGCGAATACCCACAGTATATCTGGTAACGGGACGTATCTCGACAATGTCATCTGCAGGATCGATCCGCCCAAGGAACATGATTCGGGTGCGGCTCCGTTTGACCGTCATTGGCCGAGCCCGCCCCCAGAAAGGCGCGCTGCCCCAAGAAAACAAGGCGTGCAGCATCGTGCGCAGTCAGCATTTGCGCCTCCGAACCATTGCCCAACTACGAGGCTTCTACGCTCAACGCCAGAATCATGCCATGTCCTCATTTGGCCGCACGCTGTTAAGCCCGCGTCTTCCGCCACGTGTGGGCTGTCGCCATTGTTTACCTGACGCCGCATCGGGCCTTCTGCCGCACAATTTTTGCTAGGTTGTTCCTAGTTATACAACATGAACTAGGACTCAGGCACATACTCGCCCACGACCCTCTGCCGTCCCAATACCGGGTGAAGACTACGGTTACTTGCAGGCGACCCGCCGTTGTGGATACTGGATGCAACCAAGGGGTGTTCATTCATAGTCATTGTGGGCTCGGGAATCTTTGACGAAACCGTCTCAGGGACTCAAACATGTATCGCGGTTATTGCGATGGGGACGAAGGTATGTCGGGTGGACAAGCTGGTTACATGATGTTGCACGTAGAAGAGCAGTATCACCGCAGGTGAATGTCGGCATGCAGGTAAGTATAGCGAGACACTATTGAGTTGCTCTACTACTACATTTTGTATGCCGGCCCAATAGGCAGATGGCATGCAAGCCACATGTCGGCTTGTAGTCATGTTAGTGTATACATGACAGGATGGCAACCCTCGTTCATACTCCACGCGACACGTCCATTGAACCATTCCAATCGCTGACCAATGCTTACAAGTCTCGTGACTTCTCCAGGTACCCGAACTGATCTCCCGATAAACCCCACCTCTCCCCGCGCCCGACTAGGCCCATGACATCGTCGCATTCGCGAACCCAACACTCAGACCCCTCTCACGAGTCGGATTGAAGTCGGAAGAAGGTTCACCGTAACCATGCTTAGTCTTCTGCTTACACTTCTTGAACGGATGCTTCAGGCTATCGGGAATCGGCGGATCACCCGGTTTGCGCATCGCGTCGAGTTTGGAATGCCAATCGACATCATTATCGCCTTTGCAATGGCCTTCGTTGTGGCAAAGGTTCTCCCAATCTTCTGAAAACATGAGACCGCTTCGAACCAGGAAGTTGAAGGTCTGGTCTTGGTAAAGATTGTATGTGTTGTCGTTCCATCCGAACTCGCCGACCATGCAAGGGTAGTTCCGACCGTGAGTGGACCAGACGCTGGAAATGGCTTCGCCGCGGGGGTTGCGGGCGATCGCTAAGGTGTAGGCGCCCATGAGGTTGAATTGGCCGTTGCCCCAATTCATCGCTTGCCCTAGAGCCGACTGGACCGTCTGGAAGTCAGCAGTTTGTAGGGCGTCATACAGATTGTGCTCGTGAACCGCAAGGGATGAGCGGACGACATCCTTCAAGGTAGCTCCGTAGACGTCGAAGTTGTGTCCTTCGAAGAAGTTTCGATATCCTGTGGGGCCATGGATCAACGCTTTGTGGTTCTTAACAGGGTCGTTCTCCTGCGAGATATCCAAGGCGTATATCCAGTATGAGTGATCCGGACGTTCCGGCAGGCACACTCGGTTCTCGGTCGGTCCACGAATGTCTACCTCACAGGCACCTGTAGGGACGTCAGCATCAACGATATAGGGCCGTTCCCATTGCCACAATGCGTTGATCACAGCATGCTTGAAGACCTTCTCGGACATCCTCATGATATCCTCTTGGATATTGCCATCTCTTCTGAAGAAGTCTTGACCCTGCATGAGACCGAGCAGGTCTTGGCCATGGTTGTTCTTGTCCCCTTCCATGAGCTGCTTCGACTCATGTGCAATGCTGATCATACTGTGATGGCGAAAGTCGTTTAGGGATGAGCGTATAACATCCTCGATATTGTCAGGAAGCTTCTCAGGGTCAGCTCGAGCGGTGTTGATTGTGCCGACGACGGAGATGTAGGTAGACGCGGCCATGTTAACCATCGAAGGCGCGGCAGTCTTGTCGAGTCCAATGAAACCTGGGATAGCTAGTGCCCCGCCAGCCATCATCAGTAGAGCGGAGACGGCGGTCATGCCGAGCTTCTCCATCCTCCTGTGGTCGTTCTTCTCCTGTTGGATTTGCGTCGAGATACGTGATGCAGCGCTGTATCTCGCCACAAGTGAAGGCACTTGTCCATCCGCATACAATGCGCCTTCCTGTAAGCCTTCGCGAAGGCTCTTTAACAGGTGGTCTACACCGGCGATCTGTTCGAAGAGGAAGTAAGCCATCTGCCTATCGTGTTGCGATAGCGAGGGCTTGAGAGCTTGACAAGAGAAGCTGCATCCTCCAACGGTGTCGCAATAGGAGGCACTTGGCGCTACATTGGGCGCAAGCTTGTCGCGAAGATAGTGCGGGAATGAGTTGTAGCCTGGGTCGTTCAGATAGCCGCTCCAGTACGCGGCGGCAAATACCTTGATGTTCGGTAGGTTCTGCCTCCAGGTCTCGGCGGTGGGGGTGACAAGGCCACAGCTGTCCGATACATATGCAGGCGCTGAGACATATCCGCCGGGGCCCTGCGTTGGTGGTGGTTTCCGAGGATCGACGTTGACGGGAGCGCCGTTGGCGAAGGTTACAAGGCAGACCAGAATTCTGGTGATGAGAATCGTGAACAGCATCTTGATAGTTAGCGTCTCTGTGAAAGGGGTTTGTGGTAGTAGTAGTACTTACTGTTGTAGTGGTGGTAGTAGTTGAAGTTGTTGTAACTGAAGCTGTAGTTGAAATTGTAGTAGTGGTAGCTGTCGTTGTACTAGTGGTGATACTGTATCTTCAGAAGAGTTAAAGTGTGCACGATATCCGGCATGTTATATACGAAATCCGACGGCAGTGCGGTGATGAGATTTTCGCCTCGAAATGCGGCGAATTCTCTCAACCATGGTTGTCACCTATTCCAAGTTTACCAGCTGAGTTGCATCAGGCTCTGAATTGGCTACTTGCCTCGCCGAGTAGGTCTCAACATCCAGCGATGTTCCGTAGTTAGCATAAACGAAGTGGGAGGTGCGCAAAAAAGAGAGTGAACCAGAGATCAAATCTCAGCGCACCGGCCACATACATCTAGAATGACCGATAGTAGCTTCGATTGTGGTCTATTAACGCTCCTAACGGGGTAGGGATTTATGGCTCTGAATATGCGACCGTATTCCAGCGTATCGCGTGCAATAGATATCCTATGCTGAACTCTGGGTGTCTGAGTACCGCCGGAAGAAGCTTATTGGGATTACCGTGTGCGCCGCATCGCGAAGGAAGCTTGGTATCGCAGAGGTAAGGTATCACAGGTTGCGACTAGTAAGCATCCGAGTGGCTTTCCAGAGTGATCTGATACCGTAACGCGAGTTGCGCTTGGTGGTGCGCAATCGCGAAGTTCTGCGCCCAGGTGGTGCGTCATCGCCGTGCTTGGCCTAGTGCATGTTTAGTCATCTTCAATCCGCCGAGCTGCCGATGGCGCATGCGGCTTCCTTCAACGCGACACAAGCATCACCACATTGCACGACAGCGTCATCAACAATGGATATAGTCTACGATTTCAGAGTCCTTCTATACGCGATATCCCATTCTCCTCTCCTTCTCCACAACCAACGCTCGGACATGGACGTGACAAGTGTCCTAATGCGCATGCGAGCAGCGCCCCTTACTGACAGCGATGTTCCACCACAATACTACTACCGAAATTCACAGGCCTGATACGATAATTTTCTCCATCTACTTCATAGGTCGCAGTCGCTGTATCAATAACCGTCGGGAGCGTATTGTTTATCCCCTCGGCTACGCAGTCCACGTTGGCCGCGCGATACGAGCAACCCGGAGGAATGGATATCGTACCAATGAAGCCATCCTTGGAACCCTCCCACATCGCAAGGCGCATCCGGTCACAGACCCCAGTAATTGAAGAGATCGAACAGCCTTCCTCGAGCTCCATACTCAGACCCTCGGACGTGTGTATCATCGCGCGATCCCCACGGAAGGCGATGGATGTTACGGAGTAGATTGGCAATGAACAACCGCGCTCCAGCAAGACCTTCACCTGCACAGCGGGAGCGGCCTCGGCAGCATATCGCACTGGTGCGAATGTCCTAGCTTCTTGGAAAAACGTGGTGGCCGCCTCGTCGCTCCACCTAGAGATGCGTGCCTCCGGCTCCAGCACATGGTACACGCGCACGTGTCGTTGGACATAACTCGGAACATCGCTGATTCGCAGGCTATGAAGCATGCTCACATCCCACGCCATTATACACATGTTGATTTCGGGCAGGAGCATTCGCATATCCTGGATCGCCTTCGTTGTCTTGATCTCGGCCTTCATTCGAGCCAGTCGCTCCCGTTCAGCGTCGAGTATAAGTCCAATTGTCCGGCAGATCTCTGGCTCTACGAAGCACTCGTCGAACACTTGTTCAAGGAATGCATGCGTTCTGCTTGCCTTGCTCTTGTCTGCTAAGAGCAAGAATTCGTACGCTAATGACAGCACAGCAACCAGCAGGAACACGTACTCCGCATCCCCCTGACACACTCCGAGATCCTCTTCGATCTCGAATGTCGCGATCATCGGCCTGAGAACGCGCTGATTCCAGTCTATCCCGGGATCAAAACCCTCCGTCGACACGATCGTGGTGACGTCCTGCTGAACACGTTCGACGATCCTCTCGCCGAAGCTTTCGAGAACCGAAGGACTGATATCTGGTTGTTGCGGACAAGACTTCTCGACTAAGGTCCTGTGTATGCCGCGGAGAATGGCCGAATGGTTGAAGGACATGTCCTCACGAGGAACAGCGGCGCTGGACGTGGTGGAGATTGAGGTCGATCGCGTCGACAGGCTCGATAAGCTCGATACGTCCGATAAGCTTCGCACTTTCAACCAGCTTGCTACTCGCGAACGGCTATCGCCCATAATGCTTGAGGTCGGGGTCGATTGCGTCGACAAGCTCGACACGTTCGATAAGCTTCGTACTGCTAACCAGCTTGCTACTGTTGACCGGCTATCACCCATGATGCTTGAGATGCGGTCGAAGCGGTCTTCTGCGCTGCTCCACAAGCTGTCTTGTAGCTTGCGACTAGCTTGGCCATGTCTTCGCGAAGAAAGTCACGTTCCAGTCGCGAGACATCTGTCTCAAGTCTTGCTCAGACAATGTCCACGGAGGTTTTAGCGCACGATTGCTTTCAGCATTACATCGCGAAGTTGACCCGTCGACATGAATTAATATAGGTATGCCCAGGATTGATTCGCTAACTAACTTTGGGAGCGCAATGCCAACCGCCGATGTTCCCAACGACCCCAAACACAATGCACAAGGTTCCGACCTTACTCAGAACTCATTGTCCGCATCATGCTGGATACATCATCCCAGAAGTTGTCCAATCTCACGCTTTCTGCTATTGGTATGGGATGAGATGAAGATTGATTGAATACTGACAAGTGGGCGGAGACGCCCCTATATGTCCCCAAGGTGGCTAGGAACCAGCCACCTCAATCCATTCAGATTTCAACATCTTCCTCCTCTTCTGCTTCGTCTGCCAACGCGAAGAATCCGAGCCCCCGATAAGCCTCAACGATACTCATCGTCTCTTCCTTTTCCCAGTCTCCGAACCGGTCAAGTACAACCAATAAAGCAGAATCGACCCATCCTCTCTCCCTGTTAGATTTCGCGATTGCCCTCAAGATCGTGCGCACTGCAACGTATTCTCCTGGCCCGCCAGGATACAACAATGATTCTTCCTCGAGCGACCTTCCCCTTTGGTTCTTATCGGAAGATTGCGCGGCGTTACGTAGTAGGACTTTGTAGAAAGGAAATGCTTGCTGGAAAATGTCTGCCCATGCAAGACCTGTTAACAACTTTCCAGTCGCATCTTCTCGTAACTTGCGAAGTATCACGAACAGCTTTTCGACGATTTCGTAAAGCGTGTCCGTCAAGCCAGTAGTCTTTAACAAATGTTCCATGAGATATATTGCCTCCCATCTCTCCTCTGCCCAGTTTTCTGAGAGAGCAGGATCAAGACACTGTAGAGCGAAATCTCTTTTCGGTCTAGGGCGTTGGCAAAGACCCATGCGGCAGTTGGGGCATGTAGCTTCGTCACTTGGACCGTCCCTCAGCCAATGGTCGAGACAGTCGCGGTGGAACTTGTGGCCGCAGGGGGTCGCGACGACGTCTGGCGCCACGTCGCTCAAAGCATCGCGATATGAGATGGCGCAGATGGGGCACTCATCGTCAATATTGTTGGGTGTGGAGGCAGTGAGGCTGGTGGTGTAAAATTTGTAGAGAGTTGGGATGGTCATGGTGGATACCTGTGAAGTTGCGAGTGAGGCTTGGATGGCGGCGTGAATGGTGACTTGAATGGCGAATTGGATTGTGGCTTCAACAGGAGATGTTTCGATCTCGAAAGAATTGTGTGCTGAAGGCTCGTTTTATACGGAATCCCGCAGAAACTCTGTGGGATCTGAGCGAGGAAATATGGTGCGTATCCATGGTTCGCGACCAAACACTAGGCCAACCAGCGGCCTGAGAAACGAATGCCTCGCCAATAACATCCTGCTTAATGGCGGCCAAGACAATGAATAGGGATACGCCTATTATTCATGGCTGAAGCATTGTCAACCCTACACACCACGACTACGTCTCACGGTGAAGGCGAGCGTCACCCAATCGGGCAATCCTGGTTTCTCCGCAAGCGGACCCTGACCTAGTCCACCAACTTGCTTCCTCTTCACTACCTACGCCCACACTCAATACCAAAAGACTCACATCCACCAACCCGCACCATGGCTTTACCCACCCGCACCGAGTTCTATCGCGATCATTTGGCGCCTTGTCGCATCCTCCCAGGCGCCCCCAAGTTCGCAGACATCGGTATCTGCGTTGTTTGCCAAGAGGACTTCAACGATGCGTCATATGACATGGTCGCCGTCAAAAGCTGCTCGCACGTCTTCCATCGCAAGTGCATCATCCAGTGGACCGAAACCTGGGGCTCGCCCCGCGACAAATGCCCTTCGTGTCGGGAGGCAATGTACCAGTACACGCCAATGACGGCCCATGAGATCCAGGCCATGCAGGAAGCGCAGGCAATCCAAGACGCTGAGAGCCGGCTATCAGAATTGGGGCCGTACGCTGCAGCGAGAGAAGCTGAGCGCCTCTGGTTCACGTCCATGGGCGTTTCGGTTGAGGGTCTCGATGACTTTGATGACATGGATGAACCGACACACTTTTCCGATGAAGACGGTGAGGAGGTTGCGACGCCATTGGACATGAGATTCAATCCGAATTTGTCGCTGCAAGTCCCGTCTTCCGCGGACTTTGGGAGCGCATCTCCAGCATACTCTCCAACGTTTCCAATGTACTCCGACGCATCGCTAGGAGAATCGCCCACATCACCAGGATACTCTCCCCCCTCTCCGCGATTCCCTCCCACATGGCCACTGTACTCTCAATCGACGCCATCATATTCCTCCGCGGTCCCGATATTCTCCGATGCATCGTTAGGAGAATGGCCCATATCGCCAGCATACCCTTCGTCAACGCCGGCTGTACGAGACGAAGGAAGACAAACAAACTCGGAGGAGCCGGCACAACTGACGCAGATGCGTGGACTCCTCTACAACGAGTTCACGAGAGTGAGAGAAGTCTCCAACGTCGCTGTTGTCCACACAGTCCATCCATCATTGCCGAACACATACCTTCCGGTAACCTACCACGGCAACAGCGAGTACCAGATCGAGGCGGCAGTACGAGGCGCGATTGGATACGTCTTGGTAGGTAGAACTGCGTTATTTTACTCTTGATTCGAGAGCGCGAGTGGGAAGGAACGGTTTGGTAGCCAACGTCACCTCGATCTGAAGTCTTTATCATTGGAAGAGGAGGCATCACCTCAACACGTCGCTCGGGCAGGTTGAGACTACTATATCAACACATTCCACCATTGTCACATGTGTTCCCGTTTCGTTCTCGTTACGTTGCGCTGTGATGCGGCGGTGCTTGCATCGAAGGCCCCCTTTCACTCGTACTATAATCCAGTCACTGCTCAGCCATTGCGTCATTCAGTGCTATTGTTCCTGAACAACTCGACCCGTCGCATTCACTTTCGCCCACTGATACAATAGACTTGTTACCTACAATAGCAGTCTTCTCCTCTCAATAGAGCTTGAGCCAGGTCCGGACCTATATCATCCGCTTCTCGTCACCGCAGTCGCCTCAAATCTCATCCCCCAATCCAAACTACGAGATTTCGATATCTACACACATCATAGTTGTACTCCATCATTCATTATCCAATAGTCACTCAACGTTGCTACACTGCAGTTTCCGACAATGCCGACAACCACCCCTATCGTACCTACCGCCTCCGTCAGCGTGGATGCTCCGCATTCGCGCGCAACTTCGCTGGACGAAGTAGCGCCATTCACGCCTCATCGCCGGTCTTCCACGGCCTCTGAGAGTACCAATGACGACGATCTTGATGATCTATTCGAGGACGAGACTACCTGGGGCCTTGGCTTACCGCCTATCGTGAGTCAATCTGAGCTTCCTTCCATCAACACTTCTGACCAAGCTTCGCAGCCGACATCTTCACCTATTTCCTCTCCAGACGACACCCATATCGCTAGCCCTCAGAAGCGCAAACGCGATTCCGCTACCACCGACGACTCCGCCTCCTCCTCCTCCTTCCCCTCCCCGCTATCCAAGAAGGCCAAACCCACCAATGAAGAAACAAACAATAAGAACCCAGGCAAAGAATCCGAAGCCACCCGACGATACCGCACCGCCGCCACCGCCGCATCCTTAAAGCCATCCACCACCAACGCCCACAAATTCCTCGACAGCATGCGAAAGCAGCGCTCCATCCCTACCCCCCGCTACGTCCCCACCGGCGCCGAGCGCCGCACCGAAGTCAACGCGCTCGCAGCCAAGCACGTCCGACACGTCGCCCCCGCCATGCTCGCCAACAACAACAGCAATCGCGACGTCGGCGGCGCGATGACGAAGTTCGACTGGGCTGAGACGAAGCGCCCGATCGACCCCACGCAGATCAAGACACCTTCACCTTCATCCACATCCAAATCCACATTCCAGAAATGGGTTGATGAAGAAGATGAGCATGTGACTTGGCTTGTTATTCCTGCTTCACGCAAGTTTATCAATATGGAGGGGAGTATGGTGCCGGTTGTGGATATCGTCAACAAATCGATCAAGTATCCGGAGTGGACTTTTATGGAGGAGATCAAAGGGCCGCATTGGAAGACTGGGGTGGAGGTGGTTAAGGCGGTTAAGGTTAGGTTTGAGAGGTTGACGGGGGAGCAACAGATTGAGCGGATTGATGGTATGGTTAAGCAGAAGAAGGAGGAGGATAGGCAGGCGAGGAAGGATGAGGCTGCTAGGAGAAGGACGGAAAAGAGAGAGGAGCGGGCTAGGAAGAGGGCTGAGAGGGATATGTAGGGAGTTGGGTGGGTTGAAGCTGAGATTAAGGATAGGTTTGGCGGCGACGGGTGTCGTTGGCTTGTGTTCGAGGAATAGGATATATGACTTAGTTGACTACAGTGAAAGCAGGTCACTTTCGTCCATATATCCCTAGATCTACGTATACCTCAAAATCTCGCATGAATGACGTAACAATGCGCTTTGGTGCTGTTGTAGGCCTATTGTACATCTACCATCCACCCATCACCCCAGCAGAGTACCTTCACAGCGTCCAAAACAGCATCATTCTATACGCGTATTTCAAGACTTCACTTCACCACTACCACCAAACCCTCACCACTACAGCGCGCCAATCCCGCTACATACCCACCCTCCTTCTTCACCTCCACCAAACAACAGACCCGCACTCCTTTCACAACATGACCACAGACACAGCACACGCAAAGCGTCCTTTTGTAGGTGGTGGTGCTTTCAAGGATCGAAATTTGGCCAATAGAGCACTTGAAAGCGAGAGAAGGTTGCGAGAGTTGATGGGCATGTTGTCTGAAGCCGTACAATCGTTAGCACAAGAGCTTGAAGCTGATGATGAGGATGAGTGGGAGGATGTCCATGATGAGGATGAATGGGAGGATGTCGACGATGACGAGGAGTTGGAAAATGTCGACGATGAGAATGATTGGGAAGATATCGACGATGAAGAGGATGACGAAGAGCTGGAGGATGTTGAGAATGCCTCCTCTAACTCCTCCATATTCTTATCCTCCTTCTTATCCAACAACCCCCCAACCAAAGACTACCCCCCTATCGGCCACCTATCCTTCGCCACCATCGAAGAAGCCCGCACCGCTTACTATTCAATGTTAGTGAAGGTGGAGAATCTACTCGTAAAGTGGTATCACAAAGACGATGTAACAGCACTTGTCAAGACCTTGATCGAATCTGCGCAGGCGTCGTATGCCGAGCAGGAGGAGTTTTGGAAGGATAGGCGCATAGTTCAGGAGTGGTTTGGAGGGATAGATGGGTAGAGGGGGGTTGTGGTAGCTATGGTGGGAGGAGGTGGGAACGAGCGGGTGGATGAAGGAAGTGTCGTGGATGCGGGTATGTATTTGCCCGCCTGTTCTTGCAGCGCTATATGATTGTTTGCACAGCTAATGCAGTAGTTATAACGGCGATATTATTCAAAAACAGTCTGTTTCGCAAAGTCTATCCATGGTGCAGTGCAGTGATGGCGCGGTCTTCGGAAGGCTGCAGCATCGAGGCCGTATCCGTAGCATTGAAACTAGTCAATTTCTAGACTAGTCCAACGGCTTGACAGGCGCAACCAGACATCCAGTTCCAGCGCACGACGCAGTCCAACGATCCAACAATAACTCCACTCTGTGACTCTACACGCGATACAATCTGAACCAGTCAATGAACGCTCTACGCCAGAGATACCGAAGGAACAAAGACCACAAACCCATTTCACGAGCAGTTCTTCTCCTCATCGACATTCCTTCCGGTGTAGCCTACCACTCCCCTTCCCATAGAACCTTGCCTCAAAATCCATGCACAGCTCTCCCAATACCAGACTGCCCATGCTATCAGATGACACAATACACATCAGTTGACATAGTCTTCACCAGTGACCATCCTCCTTCTCCCTCAATCCATCAACCGCGTCTCCCCCCCTCCTCCCCCTCCTCCCCTACCAACTCTCACATCTCAACCCCATCCAGCCTCACCGCATCCAACCTCCCCAGCATACCAAACCCCAAACCCTCCAAAACCAAAGCCTCCCTCCGAAACCAAACACACAAGCTCCACCAAAAGTCCCTCTACGTCCCCACTGAAATCCGCGGTTTCCACGTCTCCATGTACACAAAGGTACCTAGCAGTGTTGGTGTCGTAGAAGTCAAGGTGAAGGCGCCGCGTGACACTTCATTCTATGCGCATTGGTTATCGTCCGTGGACCAAGCAATGAAATCTGCGAATGACTGTGACGATTGCCATGTCTCTCATCTGAGGAGTGACTTTACATCGGACGGTTGGAGAGGCTAGTTATGGTTTAGTACATACCTGTGATATGGATCTGGAGGAATAGTTGTAGTTAAGAGATGGCTGCTGGTCCGCATACGTATTTTGATTCCATCGAGTTTGTCTTGCAAGCAACGGTAGAAATACATGAGGATAAGTATGGGTGCAGGGCCCTGCTGATCGGCATGAGACTTTGCAGTGTACACGGACGTGAATGGGGGTTGAAGCTGAGCATAACCAATAAATTGGTCAAGCTTTGCGAATGAGATAAGAGGTTCTTGGAGATGCGATACTTCTCTCTTTCGTAGAATGTTTCCTAGCGTATGAGTCTTATGAACTGCGGGAGATGTGGTTGGCTCGTCGTCTCTGGGTCGCCTCTGGGTCATCGCAGTACCATGGGATTGAGTGAGATAAGGACAAGCAGCTGCAGGACGAACAGAACACGTTGTCTATAGACTAATACTCGTACAAAACTACCAGGATACCGTGCCAGGAACATAAAAAAGGGGTACAAGCTATGTCCACGTCCCCGTCTAGTCAATGAGCAAGCTATTCAGCCTCGCCTCCGTAGCAATAACATCCAACGCCTGCTTGACCTCAAGCACTCTCCTGCACTCGCCCAACCAGTCTTTGCTTAGTACCTTGGCCCAACCTTGCAGACCGTTCATCTCACGAGCTGCGGCATCAAGGTCGCCTTCTTCGAGGAGGACCTCCGTTCGTGCAAGCACGGCCTCAACATCACCTCCAACAGCCAGACCAGACTTCTTGAACAGCACCTTCGACATGGCGAGGGAGGCGAGGTGGGAAGCCACACCTGCGTCTTCAGGGAGAAGCGCCGCTTTCCTGACTTCAGAAGCGACGCGACGGAAGCGGTCGATTAGGAGGGCGGAGCTGGGGATACCGCGTTGGTAGGCGGCGGGGTTGATGCTCGCAATAGCGGCGCTGACGACGGGATCATCGGCAGCGATTTCCTTGAGCGCCGCGAGCTCGGTGACAAAGGGCTTGGGGATGGCTTGTGTCTCGAGAGCTGACTTGACGGCTTCGACGGCAACGACGAGGTGCTGCGTCTTGAGGTTGGCGTCGACGACGCTGTTCCACTCGGCCGTCAGCTTCTCGAGCTCGTGCACAGACGAGGAGAGCTCGTTGAGCTTGCCGAGACGACCGTCGCGTTCGGCTTCGACGCGCTCCCGGACGTTGGCTGTGAAGGACTTTTGCATGTTGATGCTCTGTTCCAGGAGTTGGTTCTTGAGCTTCTGGTCGTAGACCTTTTGGGCGGCCTGGAGTTCAGACTGGAGGCGCTCTTTGTAGGATTGCGACAGGCGCTCGCGCTCGTTCTCGAATTCCTCCTTGAACTGGGCTTCTTGCGCCTGCATCTGGTGGTCGAGGCGCTGGACGAGCTCCTTGGCGGCCTCGTCGAATTCGGCGTGCGCGGCCTTGACCTTGTCTTCGGTCTGCTTCTGGAGGCTCTCCTTCATCAGGTTGATGTCGGAGACGACCTTGGCGAGCTCGCTCTTGGCCTTGTCCAGGGCTGAGTTGTACCTGCCGTCGTGGGCGTTGTCGGCGTTGATGACGGTGATGATGTCGTTGACGATCTTGACGACATCCTGGACGACGGGCTCGGTGGCGGAGGGTACGCTGAGGTGGTCGAGCTGGGAGATGGGCGTGGCGGTCTCCTTAACCTCCTTAACTTCTTTGACTGGGGCCTTCTTCTCCGCGGGTGCGGGTGCGCTTGATGAGACCTTCGGCTGTTGTCCGCCCGACTCGGTCTTGTCCTGGGGCTTGTTGGCATCGACGGCGCTCAGATGGGGGCCCTTGGAGGCGAGGTCGCTCTTGTTCTCCTGGGCCGGGCGCGCAGTCAAGCCGCTCCGTCCGGGGATGGTGACCTTGTTCTCGCCCGAGATCTGGGGGTGCAGTCGCGGTTCGCCAGCGCGGCCGGGGAACCGCCGCCTGAACTCGCGCTCCTCGAAGTAGGCGACGGCATCCTCGCCGTAGGGGATGTATTCGGTGAAGAAGTCGTGGAAGTTGTCCGACACGAGCGAGTACCACACACCGCCGGCATATCCAAGACCGGAGAGGACCGTCAGCCAGAGCAGCAGCTTGCGGAATATGCGTCTCTTCTTCTTGGGCTTGGGCTGGATGGGGTCGGGGGCGATGCTGGACGATCCGGGGCCGGTGGGGGGTGTCGTCTTGGGCGATATGGCGGGAGCATCACGCGATGCGCCTGCAGTCACGGTGCTGTCGGGCGCCGGCGGTGCCTTGGGAATGTCCGAGGTGGGAATGGTGCCCTTGGGGTCGGAGGGCGAGGTGGTGGGCGCGGGATTGGGGACGGCCGTCTCGCCCAGGTTCTTGCTATCGGCGTAGCAGCGCTGGGCTGGGAGCCATTGCGGGCGAGCGGCGCGGGCCAATGGGCGGGCAGCTGGACGGGCCCGTAGAATGGAGGCGCGCAGCATAATGGGCTGCCTCCGAATGGCGGATGGGTGATGGGGGGGAGGTAATTCGGCGTTGTTGATGGGCTGGACGTCTGCCAACATGAAGATTTGGAGCTCGACCAACACGTCAGGGTGCACGGACTCTCGGCAGTCCCAGGTTCTCGTCCGCCGCACCCCATGCTCCCACGACAACTCACCACCACTCCAAATTTGATGACAGCCAACAACATGCTGCGCCAAATCCACTCACACTCACAATCTTGCTCAATGACTAACCGCAGCTTCACTTCGGCTTCCCTTGCCGCGCGAGCCCACGGTTACTGATCCAAACTTGCAGCCACCCACTCACAGCGCCTCTTGTTATTCTGGTCGAGAGCAATGTACGGTTGACTGCTAACGAATTTCTCATACTGATTCCTTTATATACTGTCGATTCTTTCTCTCTCTCTCAATTCAACCATCTCTCTCTCACATCACTTTCTCAATCAAAATTCTATCCAAAGCAGACCCCAACTGAAACCAGTCAAGTCAGCCCAGCTGCGCAATCTTGCAACGTCAGCACATTACGGCCACCATCACAAGCTACACCAGGCAGCCGCTTTTCCAACTCTTCATCACCCGCGCACTCTCACACAGCTTTCGAGCGCCTGAGATCGTCGCAAGAACCAGACCCACCTTCCAGATCCGTCTGCAGGAGCAAATTCCGAGTGTGGCTTTGTCCTCGGCTACCTTTGCTCCGTCACAACAAGCCTCGCCAGCAACACCGCCAGCAACTTCAAATCTTTACCTTCTGGTCAGCTGAGCATTTCACACCGAACACCTGTTCGCAGCATACTACGGGCCGAGAAAATCTCCCCCAACAAAACTTTCGCACGAGACAAAGATCTCCGCGCAAACCCAAACCCCGCCAGCAACACAGCCAGCAAATTTGAACTTTTCAACTCCTGGTCAGCTGAGCATTCACACCGAACACCTGTTCGCATACCACGGGCCGAGAAAATCTCCCCAACAAAACTTCTCGCACGAGACAAAGATCTCCGCGCAAAACCCAAACCCCGCCAGCAACACAGCCAGCCAATTTGAACTTTTCACCTTCTGGTCAGCTGAGCATCTTCACTCCGAACACCTGTTCGCATACCACGGGCCGAGAAAATCTCCCCCAACAAAACTCTCTCGCACAAGACAAAGATCTCCGCGCAAAACCCAAACCCCCGCAAAGGAAAATTTAAACACACCCCGCAAAAATGTCTACCACACCATCATCCCACAGCTCCGCCACCGCGCGTGATGCCACAACAAACTACTCCTACGATCTCAGCAACGCGATATACGGCGCCTTCCCCAGCTGCGCAACCGATATATCGCCGCGCAGATCACGCGCCGCATCTCCAAGTTCCGCGTCCGCATCAAATTCGTCAAAGAAGCGCAGCAGCACAGCCCGCATGGCTTCAAACACCACTACCACTACCGGCACTGCAAACCGCACACTCTGCCGCCAAGCCATAAGTCTGCACCGCGAAAACGCGCCCCCAACCTGGCTGCCCGCACCCAACCCCAACCCCACCAACAAACGCAGCGCGCTCGCCAGAAGACAGCAAGGACAGCAAGGCATGAATATCCACGCGAGCACGTGCCTCAATCTCAATGCCAGCGCCGAAGACGAGACTTCAGAAGCGGATTTGTGGATTTTGCCTGAGCTGGATGATTGGGAGGAAGATGAGACGGAGACTGAGTCTGCGATTCTAACGCCTTCGAGTTCGGCGGAGTTGGACGCACCAGTGACTGCAGGACCGGAGAACAAGTGGGCCGGAGTCTTACGACGCGCTGCCAACTCGAATCTGGAGCGACTTCGGACGAGGATGGAGGGGGAGGGGTGGGATTTCGTTAAGCCCGATGACGAGGATTTGGATGAGGATGAGGAATTCGACGTCGTTGTTTTGCGCAAAGCGTAGGGTGATGAATGGGCCGGACGACTACGAGGGGACTCACGATTACGATTTGCACGATGTGTATTGGCGGAAAAGCGATTTTACGATACCCATTTGTCGCGACTTAGAGTTTGTTTTTATGACTACATGGATACTTTAGTGGAGGTAGGGTGATGAGAGTGAGAGTTGTATACCTCAAACCACGTCTTCGGAGATTGTGTTCACGTGAATGGTGATGATGTGTACTTCAAACCACGTCTTTGGGAATTGTGTGCATGTGATTGGTGAGGATGTATACCTCAAACCACGTTTTTGGAAATCTGTGTACTTCTGGATGGTGATGGTGTATACCTTAAACCACGTCTTGCATGAACATGTTGTTGTGAATGTTCCCATTGTATCCCTCAACCAAGATTATTACAAAAACATACTAAAAACTTCTAATTATACATATCCATCCCAACCCAACACCCCCCTTCCCCTATCCCCTCCCCCTCCAATCCCCCATCTCTACCCTCCCCTTCCCTCAATCTACCCACCCTTCCTCCCATCTATCCCCCCTCCTCATCTCACAAACCCAACTCAATCCTACTCAATCCTCTTCTTCCCCTCCTCCAGCCCCAATAACCGCGCATCACTCTTCCCGCGCTCATGTTTCGCCGCCCCTCCGACCAGCGGCCCGACAACAGGGTTATTTCTTACTTTAGCCAGCGTCTCTTGGAAAGCTTCGATTTGCGGGGGTTGGCGGTTGAGTTTGGGGAAGTTGACCTGTTGCGAGCGAGCGTTAGCGAGTCTGACACGCAAGGTTCTGATGGGTGGATCGGTGGATAAATGAAGGGGAAGGAAGGGAGGAAAAGGAAAGGGAAAGCCGAAGACTTACATATAACGTCCCATGATTCCAAATGAAATTCGCGCAAACTGCCGCGGTGAGGAGGGAGATCAAGAGGAGAAGACGTAACGGCCAGATCGCCGCGTCGGGGGCGCGCTGGGTGAAGCTGCCTACGAAAATGAAAAACACGGCTGCAGCGAGGATGTAGGGCACCGACTGCACAAACAACGGCCTCCGATCCGCGAAAAGAAGCTGTCCGCTCATACTAGAGTCGCTGGGCAGGTAGTTGCCCAAGAACAAATCGAACGCATCCTGTCTCGGTCCGTCGGTGAAGTTATTGAGACAATACCTCGTGATACTGTTGTTTAGATCCTGCAAGGCACCGGCTTTTGTCCTTACACCCAGGCGTGTGAAATCTGTCTTTAGGGCTCCGGTACCAGAATATGATTTCGACACCACATCCGCGTTATCGGCCCAGACGTTGCGGAACAGGTGTTCGAATGCTTGATCCTCCTCTGCGGACTCGCCTTCGCGCATGAGACCGCAGTCGATGAGCATGCGGCTGAGGACGTAGCGGCCGAGCATACTCTGCACCACATTCGTACGGTCCAGACAATCCATGCAGTTCGTGCGTACCACGGCCGTCTGATGTCTACGGACTTCCACGCCGCTGCCATCACCGGGCATGTCGACGCCGCAGAAATAGCCGTGTTTGAGGACATGGGGCTCGAGTTCGTTCATGAGGAGTTTGGCGCGGTCCCACCGCAGACCCTTTGTCTCGTTGTGGAAGTCGAAGTAGACGTAGTGGAGGCGGTCGTATACGGTTTGCGCTTTGGCGGGGTCGATGATGTGGAATTTCTCAGAGGTTATGCGGTCGCCCTCGACGTTTTCCGCCGGGGATGTGTGGAGGAGGTTGACCATTTGCTCGTAGGCTTCTTTGACGCGCTGCTCGCGGCCTTTTTGGTTGACGAGGTTCACCATCCAGTTGTCGCCGTAGAGCCGGATTTGCTCGGCGAAGTGCTTCTTGGCGGCTGGCAGCGCGTTGTCGATGCCGCGGACTTGCAGCTTGGGCGTGTATTTTAGGGTGTTGATCTCGGCCCAGTAGACAGGGACGCTTCCTCTTGTTTGCACGTACGCAAGCACCTGTGTCTCCTTTCCGGCATTTCCACCTGCTGCGCCGTTCTGGTTTGAGCCGAATCCGCCGGGGCCGCCCGATGCGTTGTCGTTCAGGATGATGGTCTGCTCCGTCTCGTTGAAGTTGGACACGTTGCCGTTCTCGTCGATGCCGCGCGAAAAGTAGCGGGTTCCCGCCTTGAGGCGCGAGCGGCGAGTGATGAGGATGAAGGTGAGAGGGGTGCCCTTGATAGATGTGTTCTTGATCTCGAGCATTCCGTACATGACGGGCAGGATGTAGGGGTCCGCGCCTGGCTGGTGTCCGCTCGAGTGCCTGCCATATCCGCCGCTGAGACCTCCGCGGAAGTCGATGAGGTCGCTGGACACGAAGCGGTTCCAGTAGAAGCGGTCGTCTGCGCGCTTCCACAGGGGCGTCGCGGGGTCGAGGTGGGCTTGGCGCTGGAAGGTGTTGGTGATGTCGAAGGAGTAGGAGAAGAACAGCGGGGACGTCTTGATGAGCGTCTTGAGCAGGCTGAGGTAGCTGTCCTCGTCGGCGTCGTGCAGCGGCTTCTCGCGCAGGGAGAGGAACTCGGTCGAGACTATCTTGTATATCATGTGGCCCTTTATCCGGCCCATGGGCTGGGCCTTGGTAATGACGATGATGTACTTGTCTTCACGTGCATCAGCATTCGTCTCCCCTGGTGCTGTGCAGGAGGCATACCTAGTCGCAGCTTGATCATGCCGAGGATGCCGGCAATGCTCGACACGCGCTTGGAGCCCAGCAGCTTGCCATCGTGGAGGCGGATGTCACCTGACGGGCGGTCTACCACGAGTGTAGGGGCCGAGGGCGACGAGGGCGACGAGAAGGCGTAGTGCGAGGGCGACGAGTGGACGTTGATGTCGCGGTAGGGGAGAGCGACGCTCATGATGTCGTCCACCTGGGCGAGTATACGGGGATCTCAACTGCTAGGAGTGTGGTGTTGAGTATAGTGTTGGCGCGATGTGTTTGGATGTGTTTTCTCAAACGGGAGGTTTCGTCATGGCGGCCATTGCGGCCAAGGGTCCCCGACTCGCGCGCTAGGGCCACCAGACGCAGCACCTCGTCACAGCACCATCCAGCTCTTTCACCCTCACCACACCCCGACACGCCTCTCTCACCCATACCCCGACCCGGTCCCGACTTGACCGCCCACCACTCGCACCACCACCCTCGCCCGCTCTACACCACCCCCTCCGCCACAACCCGCTAGCGCCGCGTCACCCCCATCATGTCGGCCAGGATGCAGCAAGGCCAACGGCCCGGAGGCTCCAGATTCGCACAGTTCAAGCTGGTGCTGTTGGGTACGAGATTACTATGATATGTGTATCAAGACATGACTAACGTCCCCAGGTGAATCCGCCGTCGGAAAGGTGCGCAGGCCTATCAAGGCAGCCATGACATAAGCTAACATGCCGCAGTCGTCTCTAGTATTGCGCTTCGTCAAGGTACGCCATATCACATGTCCCCGACACGAACCCAGCACTAACACACCCAGGACCAATTCGACGACTACCGGGAATCCACCATCGGCGCCGCCTTCCTCACCCAAACCATCGCCCTCGATGAGAACACGACGGTCAAGTTCGAGATCTGGGATACCGCCGGCCAGGAGCGCTACAAGTCGCTCGCGCCCATGTACTACCGAAACGCAAACTGCGCCGTCGTCGTCTACGACATCACACAGGCGGTATGTCTCCCCTCGCTCGCCCCATCTCATAATTAGATAATGAGACTAACACACCCAGGCCTCCCTCGACAAAGCAAAAGCCTGGGTCAAAGAACTCCAACGCCAAGCCAACGAGAACATCATCATCGCCCTCGCCGGCAACAAACTCGATCTCGTGACCGAATCCCCCGACAAGCGCGCCATCTCCACCGCCGACGCCGAGCAATACGCCCGCGAAGCCGGCCTCCTCTTCTTCGAGACGTCCGCCAAGACAAGCGAGAACGTGAAGGAGCTCTTCACGGCTATCGCGAAGAAACTGCCCATCGACCAGGCGGGGCCCAGGAACCTGAGACCGGGACAGCAACGACAGGGCGTTAACCTCAGGCCTGAGGCGAACCAGACTCAGGGGCCTGGTGGGTGCAACTGCTAGGGTTGGGGGAAGTGAAATGTTTGTTTGGTATATCGCGAAGACTACAGAGGAGATGCGATGCGACTTGGGATGAGTCCATGCTACCACTGGGTTACAGCAATCGTACTCGGTATAGCCTCTCTTCGTACGTCTCTCAGTATGTTCATTGTGGGACATTGGTTGGCTATCTGGAGTAAAGGGTTTGTGTTTGATCGCTCGAAGTCCATATTGCTTTGTTCACTCAAGAGAAGATATTTTGGGGCTACTTGCACCGATTTTTAATTAATGAATTTCGACAATCAGTTTCGCTCCCTTGCTGCGCCAGCATCGTTTTATCGCCGCTTCCTCAGTCCAAGCTCGTCTTGGAAGATCTTAGTTATTGTCTCTCCGTCCTTTTTGTTGGCCGTGCTTTTGGCATATCCGTCCGCCTACTCTGCATCCTGCTCCTCATCCTCATCGTTCCGTGCATTCCCCTTCTTCTCCCCATCCTTTTCCTCCCTTTCCTTCTCACTCTGTCCCTGTTTCTCTTCTCTCCCCTTATCTTTTCCCTCATCCTTCTTCCTCTCGTCATTCTGGATCCCTCCCGCATTTCGCTTCCCTCCCGCTCCCACGATTATGCTATCTTGTGACATGGTTAAACTGATGAGTAGTGTGAGCAGCGTTGCTAAGGGTTTGTCTTCGGGCGGTTTCGGGCGGATGAGGGGAGTGGGTGTTGGTGTGGTGGGGGGTGGGATGTGGATGGTTATAGTGGGTGTTTATGGTGGGTGGGTTTGCGCTGGGTTGATTGCGCGATTGCTGTGATTGATGTTGCAAGCAGATTTGGAGTGGTGTGATGCGTGATGCTGGCAAATATGTGGTTCGCGGTTCGTGAGCTGTCAATGCTTGTGAAAAGGCGCTGCGAACCGTCATGTCATTCAATAACCACATTTCATACATTCTAATCACGAGCCTGCCACCTCATGCGCGA